TTCAAGACCCGATCCGGTCTGAGGCAGACTTCCAAAAGCTGAAAACTGAATCTATATACACTAATAGTTAACCATAACATAAGTAAACATTTCAGAAAATCAGGAAGTTTTTGGCAGGTGTGTAAAGATCACAAAAAATCTGGAGATGGTATATGAAGCTATTATAATAATCTAGGTAAAAGGTGATATGGGCCAGAACCAGGGTGGTAGCAGTAAGTAGAAGGGAAAAGGAGGGATGCAACAGACTACAGAGGTAGAATTAAGAGGATTTTGCAACTAAATGGAAATAGGGGTAAGGAACAGAGAAGAATAAAAGCTGTCAGAGGGTTGTGCTTAAGTGACTGAAAGGATGGTAGCACTGTAAAGAGAAACAGGAAGATTAATTTTGAACATGTTGAATTTGAAGTGCTAATGTAATGGTATCCAGCAGGCAAATGGAATAAGCTAATGAAGTGGTGAAGTAATGGAAATGAATGGTTTTCACCAAGGGGGAGAGTTCAGAAAAAGAGAAGAGGGCTGAAGACAGAGTCTTAGGAAACATACACTTAGTGTGACAGAGACAGAAGATAAAGCATCTTAGGAGATGAAGAACAATCCATCAGTCTAGAGAAGAAACAGGGTAATAATTAAAGAGGTAGCTAGCAGTGTTGAAAACAGTAATAGCAGTGAAAAGGAAGAGATTACAGATGAATGTGAAAGTAGAAATGACTGATGAATTATACAGTGCTGCAGGATGGAAGGGGAAAGGATTGAGGGCACAAATAGAAGGGCTAAACATGAAAAAGAAGGCTGCTTTATCTTCTGAAACGAGAGAAAAGTAGAGGATTAGTGAAGATACTGAATTAGTAGAGGATCATGAAGACACTGGGTCAATCCCCTAAAGAGGAAAGGTCCAAACGCCTACTGACTTGATCCTGGGATAAGAAAATGAATGAATTGCTAACTGTGGTATGAAGAATGGTGCTTAGTCACTATTGGTCTTTGGCATGCCAGCTTGGTTCAGCAGATAAGAAGGAATGGGTCCACCTGTAAGCAGAGATTCAGGATGAGAGAACACATAAGTTTAGAATACCTATGGAGTAAGGACAGGAAGAGACAGGCCACAGAAGGGATCTATTTGCCCTGTCCAAAAGTCTATAAAGTATAGATTCAAGATTAATCTTTTTTCCATAAATGACTAAATCAGTGACAGCCAAAATATGATTCAGAGGACCAGTCAGAACACGAAGCAGGGTGAATACCTTCATTTGGCGCCAAAGTACGCAGACCTCCAAGACAGGTTGACAGAAGTAAAAAAGCTTGAATTTCAGGAGAGGTAAATTTGGGACACAGATAGGGAAGAATACTTTCCCAATGGAAGATATGGTCAGGGACAGAGTGGATTTGACAAAACTTAGCCACTAGACTGAGGGTGAGGAAACTTATGAAGCCCCAGCAATGAGGCAATAGAAGTTACTGCTAAGTCCAGGTACTTTTACTCTATATGACAGAGTGAGAAGGCCTGGGGAAGCAGATTCCCAGAAAGATGCACAAAACTGCTTTGGCCAGATGATCCCACAACTATGGAACTAGAACTGAAACTAAAAGACTCAAAAATGACCTACAGAAAATGACACATGTGCTTTGAAGGGTAGAGGACTAGGTTTAAACTCTAAGAATCTTCATAAATTCTGGACAATTAACCTTTTCATCCTATGATTATATTCCTCTCCCAAACTGTATACTGTGTTGAAAATACACCATTTTGTATATTTCCCTGCTGTGCATCCAAGTAAATAACCCTTTAAATGTCAAGAGTTGATGTGCTATTATCAAGGAGCAGGGAATCACTGAGATGAAGAAAACCTTTCAACCTTCTCTTTGCAAGGTACCTGGAGTTTGAGAACTCCTAGTAAGAAGCAGCAGCAGCAATATGAAACCTGAAGCACAGCTGGATTGTAAGGTGCACTCCTCAGCACCATAGCAGAGCAAAAAAGGTAGTGCTGAAGCTAGAATCAAATCTTGCTTTGGGATTATCTAGGTTCCAGATTATTTAGGGCTATGATTCTACTTTTTAGATCTTGTAGCCCATTAGTATTTTCATACCTTGACAGAGCAAGAAAAGAATTGTGAACTTCAGATGTTATCCATTTCCAATTTAGAGAATTACTCCTGGTTAATAAACCTAGGACCAATATGTAGAAATAAAAAAATATAAAATCATCAAAGTCAATAGTCTATTACATGTAAAGACCACTCATCTTAGAGTCATGATTTCTGGCCTTTGGAGTGGTAGACATTAGGGCATAATTGCCAAAAGTTAACAGAACCAGAAGACTTATCCCAAATTGCTTCTTGGCAGGGTTACCTGAGCAGCACTTAACTCTATGTTCAAGACCCTACTCCTTCAGAGTTTAAGGCTGACTTCCAAATACTCAACTGAAAATTCCATATATGTTGACATATACAAAATATATATTCGAAAATATGACTTTATCTAACATAACAAAAGGATTTATTATAGGACTCAGCCTTTTCCATTGTAACTACCAATATCTGATTTACATATAAGCATTAGGAACACCTCTGTTGTGTAAAATGAGGCATGTCTCTACTCATTTTAGCTAAGCTTTCCTCATGCATTGGGAGGAAAGCATTACCAGAAACATGGTTCTACTTATGAAGATTCAGTATGGGAAGGATACTAAATTGTCAATATGAAATCCTTGGATTTTATATCTGTAAATTTCTTTTGTTTATTTCACTTTCAGTAACAGAAAAGGGAAAACTGGCTACATTTTTACTAAAGGAAAGCTGTATTGGCAGAGATGACTATTATTTCTTCCAGTATAAAAGTTCAGTATTCTATTTGCTGGTAGAAAAAATAGTGGGATCACGAAAAATTAGTAAACTGATTCAACATTCTTTAATGAAACATGAAAGAGAATAAAATGTTAGATACGAATATAGTTATCAAAACCTCCAGCTGCAACTACACAGAAAAGCAAAATAGTTATGCTAAATGACACCGATGGTAACTGCAGGCCCAGGCCTTATTATTCAACCACTTTCATTCTGCAGCCCAGGCGTTGGTGGAGGAGTGAGTCTGGCAAAGGGGAAGAAAGGGAGGGACACAAACACCAACACAAAGTCTGAAAAGGTGGCTGGTGCAGAGGCTGAACGGTTTGCATTACCACCTTAAAAGAGAATAAATGGTGACTGATAATAGCTATTTAGCATGCTTAGGCAGAAAGGGGCTAGAAAGTCAAAGCCCAAGTCATACTTGGAGCAGGGCTTACTACGCAAGGACAAGTGTATTTTATTGTTAAGGGGAAGGGGATGGGGGAAGGTTGGTAGATTAGGTCAGCACAACTATTGGGAGAAAAAGGTTTGCCAAACAACATTAAGTCTTTACAATGTGATAGCAACTTGGCCCAGCAGTAGGCAGTGAGTCTGGGAAGCAGACATAAACAAGATTGGAATAGATGAAGATTTAAGCAATGCAGAAGGGGCTTATCTGTGCAGCTCTTTAACAGCCAATACATATCAAATGGCTAAAATGACCTTTTATTTATACTGTTATTTTCCCCAAAATACACTTTAACTCATTCCAAAATGTGTTTCCAATTCAACACTTTGCTGAGCTCATGGTTGCTTTCCTTAAATGGATCATTCTGGCTAAATTTCTGCAGTTTCTTAGGCAGGACTCAGCGAGGAAAAGTTGCCGCCACACCCTCCATTTTACAGATGGAAAGACAAGGAAGAAGCCAGCCTCACTGACTTCACTTGGTTAGGGACCCTCTCATCCTTCTAAGCTAAGCTAGCTTGGGCAGCCCCGAGAACTTTACACAAAGATCTCCCATTTCTCTGTGGCCTCCCCTTCCATCCTGACAACCAGCTTGGGACGAAACCCAAGACCGAGAGCGTCGTTGAGTATTAACTGGTCCGTCTATACGTTGGAAGGGCCTAAGATGAACATGGCCTTGGGCAACAGCGACGGGACTCCTTTTCTTGGAGCATGGGTGAACCTCTTCGGTGTCACGGACCCCCTGGGAAGTCTGGTGAAGCCTAGGGACGCCTCAGAACAATGTTTTTAAACGTACCCAAGACTATAAAGCAAGTCAGTTAATATCGAAATAGAGTCATCTCTGTGTATATATATATATATAAAACTTCTTTAAACCAAGTTTCCTGACCCCGGGCAAAGAACCGCAGCCTCAGAGAGCGGCGGGGCCCGAGGGCCTCTCACCTGGGGCCCTCAGGGGCAGCCCCGGCTCTTCTCTCCTCCGAGCTCCCTATTCGAGCCCCGGAGCGGCGGCGGCTCCTTCCCCGGGGGCGGGCAGGCTGGGCTGCGGCCCCCAATCTCGGGGCCCGGAAAAGCGTCGGCTCGGGGCGCTCGCTCCCCGCCCGGGGCCGCGTGTCTGGGCACCCCCGGGGTGGGCGCCCCGCTCCGGCGGCTAGGTTCGGCAGCTCGGGCGTCCTCCGTCCCTCCCCGGCTCCCCGTGGACGTACCGTGCAGGAGTCCCGGCCCGGGCCTGGAGGGAGGGTCGGTGGGGCGAGCTTCTTTCCGCTCCTCTCTTCACTGGCGCTGCCTGGCTGAGCCCGGGCTCCCGCTGCCCCCGCCTCCGCTGCTGGGAGTTCTCGCCTCCTCCATTGCTGGTTGGGAAGACACGGGGGGCACGTGACCGGAAGCAGCAAGGCGGACCCGGGAGGCCACGTGACAGGGAAACTCGGCCCCCATGATACTTTCGGTTCCCCCGCCCACCCACCTTCACGCTCTCCTTCACTGGCACCTCTCTCCGACTGCAGACAGCAGTGAGACCCGCGGCTGCCGGTGCGGCCCTAGAAGACCCCACTCCACGACGCCCCTCAGGCCTCAGCCTGCGCCAGGCCCGTCCGCGGCCCCCGACAGCTTCAGGCCATGGGGGAGCGTCAGCGTGGCCTCGGCCCGAGGGGAGGGACCGCGCGGGAGGGGCCGCGTCCCGTCAGGTGACGGGGAAGCGCCGGTGACATCTATGGCTGTGCGCCCGACGCTCCCGACTGACGTAAGCAGGGTGAAGTTGGAGGCTGGAGCTTCCCGGCTGGCTGTTAGGTTCCTAGCGCGTGGTGAGTGTTCCAAAGGTCCCGCGGTCGTGCGCGGGCCCGCCTCGGGGAGGGAGGGGTGCGCGGCCTCGGAGCCTGGGGGCCGAGAATCTGGCTCCCCACTCACTCCCTTGCCCCCTCCCCTCACTCCCCTGCCCCCTCCCCTCTTACTTCCTCTCAGTTCCCCTCCTGTTCCTCGGTTTTTCCTTCTAACCCGACCTCGCTTGAGGCCTGGGGAGGGCGGGCTGCCTGATGCCCTGCCCTGGGCTCGGTCTCCCCCAACCCACGCCCGAACGTGGGATTTAGGCTGTCACAGTTTGAGAACTTCACAGTTTCAGTACTGGTTTTATTGCCGCCATTTCCTTAGGACGGCGCGTCTGCAGCTGGCTAGTGTTTGCAGACTTTATCTCTGGTAATTAACTGGTTAGTAAGAAGAGAATTTCTGGTTCAGCTCTAGTTAGTTGAGATGAGCATGTCAAGTAAACTAGGTATAGCGTTAATGGTTAGTCTGTAAATTCCAGCTTAATCCGTAGTGTTTATTGACTAGTTTATAATTTTACCTGATGCAAATCTTCCCCTTTTGATGTCTGTACTTTGATGTGTAAGTCTTTACTTTGCCATTCTGCCCCATGTAACTAAGACCTATATAAAGTTGCTGAAACCGCTGCTGCGGGTATGCCGTGGGTCTCCGCTAAGCGTACGATAAGCCACTTTTTAAAAATGTCTTAGTTTGTTGATAAGTATGATTGGCAACAGTACCTCTCAACAGAGCCATGAACAATTTTTATGTCACTAGGAACCCCAAAAGCCATCTACTACAACCTCCAACTGAGAAGAATTTCTTCTACTGCATTCTGGAACTGGCATTTTCCTGCCTTTGTTTGAAGCCCAATAAGGAAGTGGATGGAACTAGTTGCCTTCTGGGGCAGCCCAATCCACATTTGAATAGCCATAATTATTAGGATGTTTTGCTTTAAATCAAAGCTAAATTTGTCTTTTTTTCTACTTCCACTTATTGCCCCCATTTCTGCCCTCTGTGGCCAAGTAGTACAGATCTAACTTCTTACTATATTTATCATAAATTCTTTCTTTCCTCCTCACTTTCTCTTGACCTCCTTCAAATCCCACCTAAAATCCCACTTGCAAGAGACCTTTTCCATTCCTCCTTAGTATTGCTGTCTTTCCTCTGAGATTATCATATATCTACAAATCTTGTTGGAATATAGTTGTTTAGTCTGAATTCCTTGAGGGGAAGGACTGTGTTTTGCCTTTCTTCGTATCCTCAGCACTTAGCACAGTCCCTGGCACATAGCAGACATCTAACAAATGCTTGTTGACTTGACCTGACAGACCTTCAGATACCTGAAGACAGTTATTCGTGGCTATCCTAAAAGTCTTTAGGTTAAACATCCTCATATGGCATAGATTCAAGACTTTCATCATTCTAATTACCCTCTAATTTTAATAGTATAATACAGCTAGCATTTATATAGCATTTTATTGTTTGCAGAGCTCTTTACAGATATCCCATTTTATTATTGCAACAACCCTGGGAGGTGGGTGCTGTTATACCCATTTTTACATATGTGTGTATTGAGGCTGTGAGAAGCTTAAGTGACTTGTCCAGGTCACTGAAGTAGTCAATGAGTCAGTATTTGAATTCAGGTCTTTCCAAATTCAGGTTCAGCTTTCTATCCACTGAGGCAGCTAGCTAGGTCATTCCTTTAAGGGGATGCCCTAAATTTCCTTATTGCTGTTAAGAAGTGCAAAGGGAACTGAAGTCTCCCACATTTTTCTGAGAAGTTTGGTCTTTTAAAAATGCCCTTTTCGTTTTTTTTCCTCTTACAAAGGAAGAGACTTCTGTTTATTTTTATAAATACTTCGTTAAAGTTGGTAGCATTTTTGCTACTGAAGGAGGCCTTGTGGTGGTTCCTAGCAGTTTTTGGGGGGTTTTTTTGGGCAACTTCCCTAAAACTCTGGCTATCCTGTTTTTTTTTTCTTTAACATTTTAAACACATTTTGAGAACAACAGATGTTTTCGAGTTATTCATGAGCTTTCTTAGAAAATATTTTAAACCACATTTTGTGATGACTAAATATCATTCTTTGAAGAATGGGGGAACAAATTTTAAGTATCCATTAGGTTCCAACCTTATTGTCTGGATTTAATACCACTTAAGTATGTACCAGCTTGGAGGCCTGGGGTAGAAGTGACAGTGGATTGGACACTTGGATTTCACTCCACATCAGAGAATTATCAATATTCTTTCTAGTCTTGGTCCACTTCCTTGTTAAAATCCATTTGTTCTGCCTTAGTCTGTAAGTCTCTATATGGGAATTCAGCAGATTCATGATTTCATGAATCCATGAACAGGCATTGTTAAATGTTTCCTATGTACCAGGCACTCTGCTAGGTGTTGAGGATGCAGAGAAAAAAAAAGAAAAAGAAAAGAAAAAAGACAAAAAAAAGGAACAGTCTCTGCTCTCAAGAACCTTACATTTTTAGAATAAGCCCACCTCTCATTATAATATTCATTATCATTACTTGTTAACCAATCAGAGTTGATAGTCACCCTCAGGAACGCCCACTCTTTTAAGGGCGTATAAGTGTTGAATGGATTCCATGAGGGGTCTTTGGTATTTGAAAGTGTTGCTGACCCCTTTTATTATTTATTGCTAGCATGATTAATAAAATGATTAATTACCCAGAAGCTATGTCTCTTGAACTTTATATATGCCATAGATATAAAATTATTCTAAAATGTAGTAATTGTCAAAATCAGCTGGCACTGGATCAAAAACAGAAAAATGGATCAATGGAACAGATTGGATAATCGTGAATTAGAACCAGAGGCTTATATCTGGTCAGTGTTGGATAAATTCAGTACTAGAAGATTTTGAAGGAAGGAATTATTCAGTAAAAATGGGGAGAAATATAAATATATGCATACACATACATATGTGTATATATACATATACACGTGTGTACATGTTTTTATATATTTATATATACACACATACACATATACAAATGTTTATGTGTATTGGCATGGCAAAGAATAGAATTAAACCCACAACTCCACACCATATACTAGAATATATTCTAAGTGGATCAGCAGTTTAACTAGTGTAGCATAATTGAGGCTGGAGATCTAGATTAGGACCAGATTGTGAAGGCATTAAAAAGCTAAACGGAGGAGTTTTTCTTTTTTTTCCCAAGGCAGCAAGGGACTCCTGGAATTTACAGAGGATGAAGAGTGACATGCTTAGACTTAGACTTTGGGAAAATCACTTGAGTGGGGTGGAGTAGATTGCAGAGGGAAGGAGACTTATGGTGGGGAGACAATTAGAAAATTATTGCAGTAGTCCAGGCTACAGATGATGAAGTCTAGAACTAGGGTTCTAGTTCTGGTTCACTTTCCAGGCTTTACCAACATGTTTCAGCTGCCTTTTCCTTCTACCCCTGTAGCTCTTTTCTCCTGTTCATGAAACCTTCATTTTGAGGAAGAACCCAGACCACATACCATACCCTCCCTACCCATTTCATTGCCATTGCTCTTATGCTAGTATAGACCTTCATTAACTAGAACTTAAAGAAGTATAGAATTTTTATTGGAGGAAGTTCTGGAGTTTCTACACTGTGAAATCACAGATTCTTTATATATTGGTAACAACTCCTTTGTCTCCTATGTATTTCCTTTCTACTGGCCAAACTCCTCTCCATTACTAACACTATATACATATACACATTTGAACAGGCTATATGCTTAAATACCTCTCAAGGGAACATGGATTTCAATGGGATACTCTTTTTTTAAAAAAAATTTATTAATTTATATTGATTTATCAACAATCACTTCCATATGCTTTTGAGTTGAAAGTTTTTCTCCCCCATCCTCCCTCCCACCCTCCCCAAGATGGCGCACAATCTCATATAGGTTTTACATTTACATTCCTGTTGAACATATTTTCACATAGTGAAGTTGTAAGTAAAAATTACAACCAATAGGAGGAACCATCAGAAAGATGAAACAAAACTCAACAGAAGGTAAAAATAAGTGATAGCGATTTGACTTCCATAGTTCTTTCTTTGGATGTGAACAGCATTTTCCATCCTGAGGCCTCTGGAGATGTCTTAGATCCTTGTAATGCCGAGAAGGGTTCAGTTTAACAATATTAGTCATCACATAATGTGGCTGTTATTGTGTACAAAGTCCTCTTGGTTCTGCTTACTTCACTCAGCATCAGACCATATAAGTCTTTCCAGGTTTTTCTGAAGTCAGCCTGTTCATCATTTCTTATAGCACAGTAGTATTCCATTACATTCATATACCACAACTTGCTCAGCCATTCCCCAACTGATGGGCATCCTCTCAATTTCCAATTCTTTGCCACCACAAAAAGAGCTGCTATGAATATTTTTGTACATGTGGGTCCTTTTCCCTCAATGGGATACTCTTAAAGATGGAAAACTCTTCTAACATTTAAAGGAGTGAAGCTAAGATAATTATTGGGGACTTGTCAGCATCCTTTCAATATCATATCATATTGTACTACCTCTGATGGGTGGGATTAGATTATAAATGACCTTGAAAGCCTGTCTGAAGAGTTTGGAATTTAACTTTGGGTCACTGAGGAGACACTGAAGATTTTGTGTCAAGAGAATAGCATGACAGAAGAAGCAGATGGTTTTTTCCACTAAAGTTCTTCTTTGTTTATTTATGAATAGAAGTGTCTCTAGGTTCTGAAAGTGTGTGCCAGTGAAGGGAGTATGTGATCTGGTAGGTTTTGCTAGTCTAGAAAGGCTTTGAGTATAAGCTTGGCTATGGAATGTCTATTAAAAGACTGACCTAGCTAAAAGACTTCTCACCAGGTAAGCTACAAGGTTGTACAGAAGTTGTGATCTACATTGGTGAAGGAAGTGTCCATAAAAATTAAATCATATATCATTGATGTATTTAAAAATGTTATTTCCTCAACTAGATCATATGTATTTTAAAGACAGTGACTTTCTTTTTTCTTTCCTTTGTATTTACCTAACTCTTTAAAGTAGATGTTTAAGAAATGTATTTCATATAATTGCATTTGGAGATAGAGTGACCTGGGTTTGGTGGCTCACTGCCAGTCCTAGAGTCAGGAAGACTCACCTTCTGAGTTCAAATTTGGATTCAGACAGATACTAGCTGTGTGGCCTTAAGCTAGTCACTTAGCCCAGTTTGCCTCAGTTTCTTCATATGTAAAATGAGCTAGGGAAGGAAATGGCAAGCCACTCCAGTGTCTTTGCCAAGAAAATCCCATGAAGGGTCAGACATGGCTGAAAAAAATGATGTAACAACACTAGGATTTAGGTTCTGGTTCTGTTACTTAATCCCTTATGTGACCATAGGCAAGTCATGTAACTTTTCTAGGCCTTAAATTCTTCCTTTCTTAAGGCAATTCTGAGTAAATATGCCTTCCATGTTATATCTTTTCAGGTAGAGCTCCTGAGTGAGTAATACTGTATCTATTATACTACCAGTTTACCTTACTAGCCAGATGACTTTGGTTCCAAGAATACCAGAGTCCTCTAGCCATGTCCTGGCAGAGTTTGAGTCTTTGGATCCATTGCTGTCTGCTCTCAGGTTGGATTCCAGTCGCCTGAAGGTGAGTTTCTTTATTATCATTTTATATTTATTGAGTATTTTTTAATGAACTGGTTGCACCATGGAGCAAATATATTATTTGCCTTTCAGTTATTTATGTTTAAGCAATGATTCTTACCTGTCTTAGAAATGCTGCACATCCTTCTGAACACTGAGGATGTTTCTGTTTGTAAGAGTAATCATTTGATGTAGGTAGCTTTTCCCTTTAGAGGCTGAATTCAACATGCATTTAGTAAAACCTCCTATTTACAAGACCCTCTGCAAGGTACTGGGAATCCAAAGTTAGAATGAGAAATAGCTGTTGCCTTCATAGAGCTACCAAGGTTGGTGTTGGGAAAGTTGTTACAATATTTATGTAGGCAAATAAGTAGAAGATATTTTAAGAGTGGATGGAACATTAGCAACTAGGCGAATCAAGAAAGGCTTCCTAGAAGAGGTGGCAGCTCAGTTGAGCTTTGAAGGAAGTTTAAGAATATTAAGAGACAAAGGGGAAGATGGAATATGTTCTGAGTGTGGGAGACAACCTGTGTGAATGAAGGGAGCTAGGGAATGTTGGTTTTAGGGAATAGCTAGAAGGCCAAATTGATGGTAATGGAAAGTATATAAAATGAGATAACTCTGAAAATAATAGACCGTAGCTAGACTGTGAAAAGTTTTAAGTGCCAAGTTGAGGAGTTTCCATTTTGTCTTATAGGCAATAGGGAATGACTGAGAATTCTTGAATAGGTGTGTGACATGTTTACTTGTGTTTTAAGGAAGGTTACTTTGGCAGTTTTGGAGAGTGGATTGGGGAATAGAGAGGTTGAAAACACAGAGTACGGCTTGGAAGTATTTTGTAGTAACCCAGCTGAGGGCTGATGAGAGCCTAAAATAGGGTGGTGGCTGTGTGAGTGGAGAGAAGGGGATGAGAAAGATGTTGTGTTGGTAGAATTGGCAAGTGAGGGAGAATGAAGATTTGAGGACTTCTCTAAAGTTGTCAACTTGGTGCTGGCAGGATGGTGAGGTGCTTCACTGGGGAAGGTAATGGATTCTAATTTCTAATTCCAATTAGGTGCTGTGATTTTGGATTTGAATGCATCATGGTTATTTCAATTTAAATTTCCATTTCCCATGGGGTAAAATGAAACTCCTTAGCCCAGTATTTAAGGCCTTCCCAGTCTGTCTCTGACCTGCCTTTTTACCTTTATGCCTGCCTTCTGGGAGCTCTGTTCTAGCCAGATTGGATTGCTAGCTGTTCCCCCAGGCTCAGCAACTGTCTCTCATCCCTGAATTTTCAGAGACTTCCCCACAGGTTTGGTATGTACTTCTGCCTTGTCTATCCCTGTCAAAATTCTGCTCTTCTTTCAAAGCTTAGCTCTGGTGTCATTTCTCCCCTTATGTCTAGCTTTACCTTCCTGCCAGCTAAAAGTGTTTTTTTCGTTCTCAAACTTTCTAGAGTATTTTGTCTGGCTTTTTCCTTTGCCCTTAACACATTTCAACATATCTGTGTACATGACTCACTTCAATGTTCCACTGTCCCATGGATGCTAGCTCCCATCTCGAGGAGAGGAATTTCATCCTTACAGTGCCTTGCATATTAGAAGGTGCTTAAAAAATTTAATAACTCATTGTACTGTTTCAGAAAACAGGAAGCATGATTAGTTATAAAATAGGGCAAAATGAATATACCTTATTACATTGTAGATGTTAATAAAATATTACTTTCATAGGCTTGTTTCAGAATAAGAAGTTAGATGGGCAATAGATTACAAAAACAACGGTATTGACCACATTCCTGATAGTGTAGTTTGTGTAGTGTAGCTGTAGTACTCCAGTAGTCCATAAGCTTCCTGAGGTCAGGAACTGTCTCATTTTAGTATTTGTAACCTCTAGCACTTACCGCAGTGCCTAGCACATAATAGGTGGGTCAAATGCCATCTTCTACAGATGGTCTTTTCCTTTCCCTCCCCCATTTCCCTCTATGGCTACTTTAATCTACTCTGTATGTATGTACCTAATTATTGACGTGTTGTCTACATTGTTAGAATGTAATCTCTTTGAAATCAAGGACTGTTTTTGGTTTTCTTTGTACTCTTAGCCCTTAGCATAGTGCCTAGCACATAGTAAGAACTTGCTTGAGAAATTCTTGTTGATGGTTGGTTGATCGATTTGTCTTTTCAGTGCACAAGTATAGATGTGTCTCGAAAGTGGCTGGCCCTGGGCAGCTCAGGAGGAGGACTCAACCTCATTCAAAAAGAAGGCTGGGAACAGAGACTTCTTCTTTCCCACAGGGTAAGATGAGAAACACTGCCACACCTCTGACTCGGGAAAGCACTGAGAGAATTCAGTTTTGTCTGTGAATTACTCAGCTTTGTACATAGGAAGCATTTAATTCATGGTGTCAGTTCTATAGTGCATCCTGTCTGGGTAAGGAATCCTATCCCCCCTGCATGTGATTATGACTGAGCTCTGAGAAGACATTTTAGTCTTGATTTCTTAGTTTGTTAAATCAGACCAGCAGTGTTTATTGAGTATTTAGTGGTAAATGCATTAACCTAGGTGCTATGTGTATAAAAAGATCCGAGCTACAAGCCTTGCAAGAACTTAGCATCCAGTATGTGGTTTTAAATCACTAGACAGAGTGACTGGTTCTGAGAGAGAAAGAGAGAATTTAGAGCATTTCACTTCTGATATTCATTTGAGTCTATAATAGTGATGCTCTTCAATTTATTGCCTGTGTCATCACTTCTTGTTCTTATTTGCTGGATTATTCATCTCCTGTCGCCTAACTCTGTGCCCTGGGCTGTTTTGTCTTGTCTTGTCTCATCTCAACATCCCTCAGTGTTCTCATGGGTTCACTTATTATGTCTGTGCAGGTGACTCCTACATCTGCATGTCAAACCCTACACTCTCTTTCTTAAAATCCATTCTGGCATTACTGTTTTTTTTCTGAAAATGAATGTCTCATAATCATCTCAAATCCAGAATTTATCTTTTTCCTTAAATTTTCATGCTATCTTTTCTATTACCTAGGTTTGAAACCTCAGAGTCATCTTTGATTCTTTCTTTACCACTCATATCTAATAAATTGTCAAGTCTTATTGATTTTTATTTAAACAATCTTTCTCAATTTTCCCATTCTTTCCACACATAGCCACTACTCTAGTTTAGACTCTAATCATTTCCATTTGGTTGCTCTTTTTCTGTTCTCTGCCTTTTATGATTCATCATCCCCATTTGTAGCTGCCAAAATAATCTAACCATGGCAGAGCTATGCCCTTATCCATCCTCTGTTCAGGAATGTTCATTGGTTATGTATTGTGTCTAGGACAAAATTCCTCAGCCTGATGTTTTGCACCAATTTACTTTTTTGGGTTTATTTCATATTATCTCAGCCATACTGATCTGTCAGATTTTCCCTGAGGTTGGAATTCCATCTCTCTTCTCCTTGGAGTCACACAGGCAGCTGGGTTGTTTAGTGGAGAAAGCAATACCTGGAATCAAGAACACTTGAGTTCAGATGATGACTCAAACACTTACTTGCTGTGTGACCCTAGGCAAGTCATTTAAGTGATCTCAGCCTCAATTTCCTCATCTGTAAAATGGGGATAAGAATTTAACACCTACTTCCTAGGGTTGTTGTGAGGATCATATGTATAAAGTACGCTGGAGACTTTAAAGCTTTATTGTTATTATTATCTGTCTTCCATGCTTAGAATATATTTCTCTCTTTTGTGTCTTAGAATCTTTAACTTTCTTGATCTGCATGTCTCCCCTTCCCCAGTTCCCTTTCCCTCAAATGAATTTGTGTTAATGTTTCTGTGTATGTGTTATATTGGGCCAGCTAGGTGGTGAAGTAGATAGAGCACCAGGCTTGGAGTCAGGAGGCTCTGAGTTCAAATCTGGCCTCAGACACTTAATAGCTGTGTGACCCTGGGCAAAACATGTTTGCCTCAGTTTCCTCGTCTGTAAAGTGAACTGAAGAAGGAAATGGCAAACCACTCAAGTACCTTTGCTAAGAAAACCCCAAATGAGGTCATGACGAGTTGGATACGGCTGAAATCACATCATCATCATCATCATCATCACCATCATCACCAACAACAAATGTGTTCTGTTTCCTGAGAGAATGTAAATTCTTTGTAGTTAGGGACTTCTTTTAGTTTAGTTCTTTTTTTTCCACCAATCATAGTTCCCTGCAGATATTTTCTGCAATGTCAGACCACTTTTTTGTCTTAGCAAAGAAGCCAGAAATTCAGTGGTGATAAAGACTGAGCTGTATATATTCTCAGTAGGCATGCTCTTTGCTTTTGAGAATTGAGTGTGAAGCATATTTGGAGGGAGAAGAGTGAGAAAACTCATTCTTTAGCCCAAACTCTCTTAATCTTTTGGGAAGTGAGACATTTTAGACTTCAATCTGTCTAGTGTGTTTCATATAATAATAACTAGGATTCATGTAGCACTTTTAAGTTTTGCAGAGTGCTTTACATATATTATCCTATCTGAATCTCTTTAAAAATAATTTCTACCACTGGGGAAAATATACAGTAAATGGAAGAGAAATGTGATCTTACACCTGACTTGAGAGCTAATGGCAATGTTCTTTAATCTTATATACAAACTACATTTCATAATGACATTTCTTGGGGTTTTTTTGGGTTTTAGGAAGGTGCTGTTTCTCAGGTTGCCTGTTGTTTACATGATGACGACTATGTTGCTGTAGCCACCAGGTAAGATGATTTTTTAAAACAGTATTTTATTTTTTCCAATTATATGTAAAGGCAATTTTTAGCATTCATTTTTACAAGATTTTGAGTTCCAAATTTTTCTGCCTCCGTTTCTCCCCTCCCCTCTTCCTAAAATGGTAAGCAATTTGATATAGGTTATATTTGTACAATCATATAAAACATATTTCCAATTAGTCATAGTTGTGAAAGAAGAAACAGATCAAAAGGAAGAAAACCATGAAAAAAATAAAGTAAGTGAAAATAGTATGCTTTCATCCGTCAGTTCTTTATCTGGATGTGGATAGCATTTTCCATCATGAGTCCTTTGTAATTGTCTTGGGCCATTGTATTGCCGAGAAGAGCTAAGTCGTTCATAGTTGATCATTACACAATGTTGCTGTTACTGTGTACAGTGTTTTCCTGGTTCTGCTCATTTCACTTTGTTCATACAAGTCTTTCCAAGTTTTTCTGAAATCTGCCTGCTCATCATTTCTTGTTGCACAGTAGTATTCCATTACATTTATATACTACAACTTGTTCAACCAATCCCAAATTGATGGGCATCCCCTCAGTTTTTAATATTTTGCCATGACAAAAAGAGATGTTATAAATATTTTTGCAAATGTCGGTCGTTGTCCCTTTTTTAAGATAACAGGATGTTTTAAAAGTTTTCTTATCCTTTCCAAATACTTAAAACAGCCTTTTAAAAAAGCATCAAGAGATATAATTCTCGGTTTTTGTACTTGGAATGGGGAAGTCAGCTCTAACCTCCATGTTAAGACTTCTGGTGATGGAGGCTCTCACCTTATGCTTTTAAAATCAGAGTTTGTTGATGAGCTCCCAGATTAGTCACGTCAGTCTTTTTAATCAGCCTCCTCTTGACCCCTTTCTTCTTTATCAAAATCAGCTGTGTTTGTCATCAACATTTCATTCCTAGGATCCTCCCATCCTTGTTGGTGTATGTCCTTTTTCTTAGATTCATAGCATGGATCCTGTTGATTAAATCTCTGAAATCTGAAATTTGCTTTTCCAGTGTTTAGGGTACAGAGCTTGATTTTCCCCATCTTGTCTATCCATAAGATGGTGGGTAGGGTTGTGGGCATGCTGTTTAGTTTTCAGAAACTCTTAAGTTGATACTCATCGTCACAATTCTCTGTTGCTAATAATTTTTTCTTTTTGACTCTTTATGCTCTTAGTCAAGGTTTTGTAGTAGTTTGGGAATTAAATCAGGAGCGTCGTGGGAAACCAGAACGAATTTATGTATCTTCAGAACACAAAGGACGGAGAGTTACATCTCTCTGTTGGGACACAGCTGCTCTTAGAGTTTTTTCAGGAGACCATTTGGGAAGAGTTTCTGCCATCAAACTGAACACATCCAAACAAGGAAAGGTGAGGAAGAATTCTTTTCTTTTTTCCCTGGAGCAAAGGAGTTTTGCATGGTTTTATAGGTCCCTGAAATAATGAGAGAACACGGTAGCCACTATGCAACTTGAAGAAGCGGTAAGAGCCAAGTTTAATCTTTTGGATGGAGAATGGCTAGGAGATAATATATACTGTGTTTTAGGTTTTGCTTTTTAAATTCTTTATAAAGTTAATTATTTTGCGTGAAGCTTTTGAGTAGTAACTGAAATCCTCATAGGATCTGTGACTTTAAAAAAGCCACATTTTGGTTTGCTTTATTTTCTTTATTTTGATATAAAAAATTTTGAAATTGGGAACAAAAAGGGAACAGTGTTTTAGTTATAATGTTTAATTATTCTGCGATGAAATAAATTTTTATTTTCCGTATCCCTCTTCTAATCCCACTCTCCCCAACTATTTAGGCAGCTGCTACCTTTATGATGTTCCCGGTTCAGACGATAACAACAGTTGACTCTCGAATAGTACAGTTAGATTATTTGGATGGAAGATTGCTTGTATCTTCACTTACTCGATCCTTCTTATGTGATACTGAGAGGTAAACTTGGTTGTATCATACTCTATAATTTTTATTAAGTAGTGGTTTAAATGAATCAGCAAATACCCTTATTTCTCTTTGTCAGCCTTTATATTTTTCATGAGGAAAAGGTAGATGTTTATCTTTCAGATAAATTTTTCTCATGTATGCTTTTGGTACAGTGGGTAGTTTTGGAGTTCTTCATGCTCACCAACAAAGCAGGGTAAATAAAGTATGTTCTTAATTATCTACACGATGAAAGGGAACATGGAACCACAGAGTCCTATAGGTGGAAGGGAGGTTAACTAGTAACTCCTCCTTTAAAATCCAGGTAAATGGTCCTGTAGCCGTGACCTCCTCCTCAAGACCTGGAGTAATGTGAAACTCATTTCCTAAGGCCTTCCATTCTCCTTTGGAACTACTTAGAGAAGAAAAAGCTTAGATATGAAAATAGAAAACTTATCCAGGTAGTAGACCTTCTGAAAAATAGAGTTGAGCAAACAACTAAAAACTTCAGTGAAACACGAAATATTAGAGCAAAGTAAGAAGATATATTTTATGGGGCCTGCCATCAAAAACAATTGATCTGGAAAACTTGAGGAGGTGAGATAATTTAAGAATAATTGGATTCCTCTGAAACCATGACCAAACAAAAATCTTGAATTTCATATTTTAGGAAGGCATAGAAGAAAGCTTCCCAGAACTACTAAAACCAAAGGGCAAAATGAAAATAGAAAGAATCCATAGGTCAACTAAAAGAGATCCCAAATTTAATACATCCAGAAATGGGAGAGCTAAATGCCAGAGCTCCTAGCTTAAAGAAAAAATATTTCAGATAGCCAGAGAGAAAGAGAGAGAGTAACAAGGAACCAAAGCCAGGATTATAAATTACGTAGCAGTTATTAAAAGTAAAGAAAAACTTGGAATATGGTGTAGCAAAATACAAAAGACTTTAAGACAACTGCAACTTATCCTACAAAATTGACTATAGTCAATCCTAACAGAAAAAATGCAAGGATGGAGGGGTGGGTTAAAACCAGGTTGTAGAGCCCTTAAAAACTAGACTGAGAGCTTTGTATTATATATTTTGGGCTATAAGGAGCCATTACATTTTCTGAGCAGAGAAATAGAATGGTCAGACTTGTCCCCTAGGAAGATTTTTAAAAAATTTTTTTGTTTTAGGCAGTGGGGTTAAGTGACTTGCCCAGGGTCACACAGCTAGTAAGCGTTATGTGTCTGAGGCCGGATTTGAACTCAGGTCCTCCTGAATCCAGGGCCAGTGCTGTATCCATTGTTCCACCTAGCTGCCCCAAGATTTTTTTTTTAAGGGAGACAGATACAATTATATTTATTTACCATTCTTTAAGATTGATCTTTTTAAAATTAATTTATTTTTAATTTTCAACATTCACTTCCAGAAGATTTTGAGTTCCAAATTTTCTCCCCGTCTCGTCCCTCCTCCCATCCCAAGATGGTATGCATTCTGAATACCCCTTCCCCTAATCTGCCCTCCTTTCTATTTCTCCCTCCACTTCTCTTATCCACTTCCCCTTCAGTTTTTCTGTAGGACAGGATAGATTTCTATAACCCATTTCCTGTATATCTTATTTCCCAGTTGCATGTGAAAACAAATTTTTTTTTAAAACATTTTAAAAAAAACTTTGGGTTCCAAATTTTCTCCCTTCCTCCCTACCCACTCACCCTCTGGAATTTGGCTATAATATTCCTAGGAGTTTTCCTTTGGGGATCTCTTTCAGGAGGTGAGTGGTGGATTGTCTAAATTTCTATTTTGCCCTCTGATTCTAAAATATCAGGGCAGTTTTCCTTGATAATTTCTTGAAAGATAATGTCTAAGCTCTTTTTTTGATCATGGCTTTCAGATAGTCCAATAATTTTAAAATTATGTCTCCTGGATCTGTTTTCCAGGTCAGTTGTTTTTCCATTGAGATATTTCACATTGTTTTCTATTTTTTCATTCTTTTGGATTTGTTTTACAGTGTCTTGGTTTCTCATAAAGTCACTAGCTTCCAATTGCTCCATTCTAATTTTTAAGGAAGTATTTTCTTCAGTAAGCTTTTGGACTTCCTTTTCCATTTGGCCAGTTTTACTTTTTAAGGCATTCTTCTCCTCATTGGCTTTTTGGACCTCTTTTGCCATTTGGGTTAGGCTGTTTTTTAAGGTGTTACTTTCCTCAGTATTTTTTTGGGTCTCCTTTAGCAAGCTGTTGACTTGTTTTTCATGATTTTCTTGCATCACTTTCATTTCTCTTCCCAGTTTTTCCTCTACTTCTCTTACTTGTTTCTTAAAATCCTTTTGAGCTCTTCCATGGCCTGGGACCGATTCATAATTTTCTTGGAGACTTTGGATGTAGGAGCTTTGATTTTGTTGTCTTCTTCTGGTTATATGTTTCAGTCTTCTTTGTCACCAAAGTAAGATTCTGTGGTCTGACTTTTTTGTGAGGTTTGCTCATGATCCCAGCCAATTACTTGAGTTATAAACTTTCTTAAGGTAGTGGTCTGCTTCTAGTGTGGAGAATGTACTGTCCCAAGCTTTGGGGTTTTGTGCAGCTGTTTTCAGAGATACTTCTAGGGACCTGTAAATTTTCAGTTCTTCCAAGGTGGTATGGTAAGGGGTGAGTGTTTACTCTTTTCCTGGCCTGTGCTCTGGTCTATGAATGACCACAAGTACTCTTTTCTGTCTTGGAGCTGTGAGGAGGATTTGCTCTTCAACACCACTACAAGCTCTGCCATGCATCAGTCCTCCTTCCCCCAGGACTGCCAACCAGAACTGTGACCCAGATCCAAGCATGGGTAAAGCAAGAGAATCTGCACCAGCAAAGAGATTCCTGCAATCCTCTGAGCAGCCACTCAATTCCCCCTCAGTCTGTGGGCTGGAAGCTCAGGAAGCAGCCGCTGCTCTGGGGCCACGCTAAAGGGCAGGGGCTGAGATTCCGCACTTCTCTCTCACTGCAGTCACAGAGTTTTCCTATTGACCTTCAGGAAATGTCTCATAGGAGTTTCCACTTAAGCTTAATCTTGAAGGGAGCTGGGGTTTCAACAGGCAGAGGTGCAAAGAGAGAGCCTTCCGGTGGTGCTGAGAGGTGCAGGGGCAGGAGGTGAAGTGTTGTATATGAGGAACAACATTAGACTGGTACAAAGAGGGAAGAAGCACCTAAGAAAGAATTGGCAACCCAATGAAATGATTTGAGTTTTCCTGTTCCTACCAATGTCTACCCTCTGTTTGAAATGCTAATAAATAGGAGAGAAGAGGGCCTTGGGTGGAAGAAAAAGGAGACTAAGCTTCTTTAACTAGGCCACATCTCCCCCAAAAGCTCTACCCACAGCAGGCATTTAATACAGGAAGCCTAAGCACCCAAATAAAAATCGGTTAATTGTTCATTTGGAAAACATTAGTGGAGCTATTGCTTTAGACTCTATTGGTGATATGAAATTGGTAGGTGATACTCCCCTCATTCAAGGAGCTAATTAGAGAATTCATATATCTATATCTATATCTCTCTATATAGCTATATTTCACATATAATGTATATGTAAAACATACAATATAATATTTTATTGGTGAGAATAATGAGGACTGGAAATGTCACAGAAATTTAGTGTCAACTGGTCATTGCTAGCCCTTTCTAGTGCTTGTGTCTCTGAACTGTTTTACTTTTATGAAGCAACTAGTGAACATTTGTAAGACAACCTGAAAATAACCTAAAAACATAAAAGAATGTTAGAAATGCTAAGCTTCATCAGGCTTTTGGTGTAAGTACAGTTGTATGGTGTTAGTATATTTGAGTGCTAGGGGAACAAAAAACAAGGAAGATGCCATGTGGGCTGGGGCTGTTAGGCTTTGTACTGAATTGCTGTATTGTTGCTTTTAATCGTGTTGTAAACGTATATAACTCCACCTTCCCCCCTTCTTTTTGTTATTAGGGAAAAGTTTTGGAAAATTGGTACTAAGGAGAGAGATGGAGAATATGGAGCTTGTTTTTTCCCAGGAAGAAGCTCTGGGACTCAGCAGCCCCTCATATATTGTGCTCGCCCTGGCTCTAGAATGTGGGAGGTGAGCTTTGAAGGAGAAGTTCTGAGTACACACCAGTTCAAGAAACTTCTCTCCTCATCACCTCTTCCTGTGATTAATCTAAGGTAGGGATTGTAGGGCTGGTCTATGGTCATTTTAGGCCCTTCATGGGAAGGGCTTGGCTTGATATTTCTTAAATGCAAAATATATTTCCCAATTAGTCATTCAAGGATCATTTATTGAGTGCCCTCACTGGATGAGAGACTGTGTACCTTTGATGTAATTTGTTGAAAGGCTGTATGATAGTAATCATAAAAGACTTTAACAAGACTCTAATCAGAGTGCATTGAATAAGAACATATTTTCTTATCTGCAGTAGTTTTAAGTTTTTTTTTACCCAGAAGTTTTCTTTAAACATTGAAGTAAAAACAAAATAGGTGTTGTAAGTCATTAAAAAAGATATTATTTATTTCCTAGATCAGAGCCTGAATTTAATAGTACAGTTGGTTCATCTCAGTCTTTGACCTTTCCCAAACTCTTATATCTAAGGTAAGCCTCTATTAGTACTTTTCTCTTTTAAAAAAAAATGCAAAAACCTTTGTTCACATTTCATTGATTGTCTTTTAAGGTTATTTTTAATGCCTCAGTTTTTTTTAATAAGAGTAGGCAGTGGCAGAAAGGAATTGATTTATCCTTTAAATATGGCGATGGAACCAAGAAGCTCCAGAACTCTGTTCCACTTTTGCAGTTCCTGTTTTAGCTTTCAAAATATCTCCAGGAGGGGCAGCTAGGTGGCGCAGTGGATAGAGCACTGGCCCTGAAGTCAGGAGGACCTGAGTTCAAATGTGGCCTCAGACCAAACGCTTGACACGTACTAGCTGTGTGACCCTTGGCAAGTCACTTAACCCCAATTGCCTTAAAAAAAAAACAACCAAAAAACCCCCCCCCAAAACAAAATAACTCCAGGGGCAGTAGATAGAGCACTGACCCTGGATTCAGGAGGACCTGAGTTGAAATCTGACCTCAGATACATAACACTTACTACTGTTGTGGCTCTGGGCAAGTCACTTAACACTCATTGCCTATACCCTCCCCAAAATAAAAAAAAGGTAACTCCAGATACGCTTATTTTGATCTCTTAATTAAAAGGCTGTCTCATAGAAAGACATATTTTGGGCTTATTCTTTAGAAGCTTAATATTTATATCTTTAGAAGTACTCTACTCTTCTGCCTGACTGACACCCCAGCTAGGTTGTAATGGTGTTTGCATTATTATTGTTTTAGCCTGGCATTCCTTGGGAAGTAACCACATGTTGTTTTGAAAATAATTAGTATGGGGCAGCTAGATAGCATAGTGGATAGGGCACCAGCCCTGGATGCAGGATGACCTCAGTTCAAATGTGGCCTCAGACACTTGACACTTACAAGCTGTGTGACCATGGGCAAGTCACTTCACCCCATTGCCTCGCAAAAAAAAAATAATTAGTGCATCTTGTTTGGACACAAGACACCAACAACCAATTAAATAAGCCCCCTTACAAAATACATTCTGCCCAAAACAGTTTATCAGTTTTTGAAAGAAAGGAAGGATGTGCCCTTTAGTGTGATAAGATGGTACTAACATTGATCATTGTGTTTGAACAGTTTTGTTGCCTCTTCATATTAACTTCATCTACATGGTTGTCTTTGGGTATATTGTTCTTTTTGTCCTGCTTTCTGATCTATCCAACCTGTCAACCCCTGATAAACCTTGTGCCCCTACTGTGCTCTGACTAGTAGTTTCTGATTGTCCCTAGGAAGATCCCTGAATACCCCAGAAGTTTCTAACTGCCCCTGTTTCTGGACACAGATAGTTCCAAGGACGTTTCTTTGACCTTGTTGCAATCCTTCAGCACCTTCAGTACTTTCTTCCTGTGTTTGGGCTGTTCTTTGTATCCAGATTATATGCCTTCCAGCTGTTTCCCACAACTGTGCCTTCTCCCCTTTGTCCCCAAGCATCCCTCTCTGCATAAGGCGGTGTGTTGTCCCAAATTGCCAGCCTGAGGTTTTTTTTCAGGTTGACAAATCCAACAAGCATTTTTAAGTACTTATTATGTGAAAGGCACTGTCCTTGGCCTTAGGAATACAAAAGGAAAATGGAAAAAAACAAACCAACCCCTATTCTAAGGAGTTTATGGCTTATCTTCTGCAGGGTGGGGGAGATTCAGCATATAAACAGCATATATGCGATAATTCGGGATTAGGAAAGGTTTCTTCTGGGAGTTGGGTACCATTAGTGAATCTTGAAGGAAACTCAGGAGTCTGGGAGGCAGAAGGGGAAGGAGTGCATTTCAGGGATGAGAATCAGCTGGCACAGAAGTGGTGGTTAGAATTCACAGAAGCAGCACATAATACCAATTTGGCTAGAAAAGAGTGCATGATGGAAATGAATACATGGAGTAAGCCTGAAAGAAAGGCTAGAGCCCTATTGTGAATGCTTTAAATGAGCAGCCTGGGAGTTTGTATTTTATTCTACAAGCTGGAGGGAGCCACAGGGCACTTTATTGAGCAGGAGAGTAACATGGTCAGACCTGAACTTTCAGATTATTTTAGCAGCTGTGTGGAGGGTGTGTCTGAATCTGAAAGTTGGGAGCCCAAAGAGACTGTCAGAATAGTCCAGAGGGGGCAATATGGGACCTGAACTAGGGTGGTAGTTGTATGAGTGGAGAGAAGAATATGTTTGCAAAATGTGTTGGGTAGGTAGAAAATGGCAGCTGGAGAGGTCAAGGGAAAAATCATCTGGCATGTACAGTGATTACAGCGCCAGGCCTGTAGTCAGGAAGACCTCAGTTAAATTTTACCTCAGACACTTACTAGCTGTGTGACATTGGGCAAGTTACTTATTTCTGCCTCAGTTTCCTCAGCTGTAAAATGGGGATATTAACAGCACCTACCTCCCAAGGTTGTGAGGATCAAATGAGATAATATTTGTAAAGTGCTTTGCAAATCTTAAAGTTCTATATTAATACTAGTTATTATTATTACGAATCAAGGTTGACTTAAAGTTTTACATTGGGGTGATTAGAAGCATGATGGAGTCCTTAACGTAAACAGAGAATGCTTCCATTTAGTGTAATATAGTGTAATAAAGTGTAATTTAGTGTAATGAAAATACTTTTCATTTATGTTATAGTCATTGTTAATAATCAGCAAGCACTTATTGGCCTGCTCTGTGCAAGGCATCGTTCAAGGTGCTGAATTTTGTTCTTTCGGTTTGCTTTCTTCATTTTTTTTTTGAGGCAGTCGGGGTTAAGTGACTTTCCCAGAGTCACACAGCTAGTAAGTGTCAAGTATCTGAGGCCAGATTTGAATGCAGGTTCTCCTGACTCCAAGGCCGGAGCTCTATCCATTGCACCACCTACCTGCCCCTGCTTTTTTCGTTTTGCATACTTCATATAAGTCATCTCATGTTTCTCTGACTTTTTCATATTCATGATTTCTTATTATGCTTTAACATCCATTCTATTTATATACTATAATTTGTTTAATTATCTCCCAGTTGCTGGGCATCCACTTCATTTCCAGTTTTTTTTCCTTTACCACAAAAAGTACTTCTATAAATATTTTGGTGTCTGTAAGACCATTTTTTGTGTCTTTGATCTCCTTGAAGTAAATGCCCAGGAGAGGGAGTTACTGGCTTAAAGGATATTAACAGGTTAGCAACTTTTTTCACATAATTCCAAATTATTTTCCAGAGTGGTTGGACCATTTTCTAGCTGTGCCAACAGTATATTAATTGTTGGTATGCCCATGGCTTCTCCAACATATCCTGTTATCATTCTGTCTCATTTTTGTCAGTGAGATGGATATGAGTTGAAAATTCTCAGTTGTTTTAATTTGCATTTATTGGTGATTTGGAATGTTTTTTCGTAAGGTTGTTGCATTTCTTCTTTTGAAAACTGAATATCCTTTGGCAATGCATTTATTAGAGAATGGTTCTTGGCCTTTCTTGTATATCCTGGAGAGCAGACTTACAAGAGAGATATTTGAATGCATAGATATGTTTTCCCCTACTGAAAACTTCTTTTTAGTCTAGGTGCGTTGATTTTGTTCATGCAAAAACCTTTTAATTGTATGAATTGGAATTGTCTGTTTAGACTTCTATTCCCTGAGGCTTTTCTAAAAGACAGTTTTTTCTTTTCAAAAAGATTTCTTGGGTTGACATCTTTTTCTTTATAATTTAGAATTTCCATTGCATTTGGCTAAATTTCAGTGAATCACTAGTTTTAGTAGGTGTGGTAGTTTTGAGCTGGATCACCAATTGTCTGCTGCACTCGCAGATTTGCCTTGCTTTCTCATATGAGAGGCTGAATTCTTGGGGATTTTAGGGTAGACCTGTGTATCCTAATGTCCTGGAAACAGGATGTACACATGCACAAAGCCTTTAGCTCCTTTGATGCCTGTTTTTTCTTGCAGTGAGCACTATGTCTTGACTTGGAATGAAAGAGGCATTTATATTTTTATTCCCCAGAATGTTCAAGTTCTTCTTTGGAGTGAAGTCAAAGGTAACCATTACTTTTGTGCCATTATGTACTTTTAAAATTGTTCATTCAATAACACATTTTTAAAATCATCTTCATATAGAAGCCTGTGTTTGGCAATGGGAGAAATCCAAAAAGAAATAAGATTTGGTTCCTGCCTTCTCTTCAGGGGCTTAGTAATCTTTTATTCGTGTGAAAGGTTTATTACCATAAATAGATTTTTCTTGAATGAATGAAAAATCACTTATTAAACACGTTATGTGCAAATTACTTTGCTAAGCTTTACGACTACAAATAGAACACCATGGTCCCTGCCTTGTAGGAGCTCACATTCTAATGTGGGAGACAACACAGCTAGATGAAAGGTTTCAGCTGCAAGGTGGATGGGAAGATCCCCTGGTCTTTAGTGGGCAGCTGTGGAACAGATGCTCATGCCTCTTCTTTTGTGTCATTTCCACTGATAAAATCACCATCAGTTTCTGTGATGCTATACCATTTGTCAGTGCCAAGGACTTTGATGACAAGAACTTTCTTTTTTGGGCCTTGAGTAGCTGTGGTTGCAGCCTCTCTGGGAGCCGCTGCCAGGCTGCATCTCCAATAGGGGTTGTGGCCCAGCATAAAGCTGAGGACACTGGTCTGGAAGCATGGATGCAAGGCTCTAGGCTCAAAGTCCTGGGCTGTCTCCATCCAGGTCTGAGGGGAGATGGTGTTCAGGGTGGTGGGAGTGTTTGACTGTCCTGGCACCTGATGCCTCCCTCCTGTCTCTTTCTCAGAGACCCTGCTGCTTCAGCAGGGCTCTAGTAAGGATGACCTGCTCTTACCCTGGCCCTTAGCCCTTCAGAGGTAGAAAGAATAATAGCATTTGTTCTTTGAAGTTCCATATAGTTATTAATGTATTATATTCATTCACTCATATAGTCTTTTCCTGCATATGGTCTGTAGAAAGAACTTCTGCAATGTCCTTTTTTGACATAAGGCTGATACTTAGTAAATTGTTTCTTGACACATTTCTTAGTAATCCTTAACTGTCCTTAATCAACCTTCAATCTTAAATTGTTTTCCTGTTAGTTTTGAATGTAATTAACTCACTTTGACCCTTCCTCAATCTTTATACCTTTAATTAAAACCCCTTCTGAGTTCCAGTTTAGGTTTCAGGGAAGCTTGGGGGTCAGGCAGTGGCTCCCTTTCACATGTCACAGCCGGCTTGTTGAGTTTGCTTTTGCTATTAGTGAATGAGTAGGGTTAGCATTCCTGATCATTAAGAGGGTCCTTGCTTGTGTTACTTCCTAATTCCCTAATTTCTTCCTGCCTTATGGAAAAGAAACAAGAGAAGTCAACAGTAATCCCAGGAATAATGCTCCCCTCAAAGTTCTCTCTGTCAGGCAGTTTTCAAGCCCCTCCAGACTCCCCTCTCCTATGAGGCATTTAGTTGTAGGAATTTGCTGTAATTGATTTGCATGCAGTAGTTAAACATCACCTTCCCCCAAACTTTTACAATCTGGATTCTGACATAAACTCCCTTCTTCTAAATGAATGAATTCTACAGAGATAAAAGGTTTCTCATTACTTTTCATTTACAGTCCCATGTAATTTACTTGACACTGAAGTAAGGAAGCATACAAATGATGATGTTCACTTATAATTCTGCTTTAATCTTTTGTCTGATTGCATAATAACTATCACAATAAAGAACATAGGGTCATAGATCTTAAGTTGTAAGGAAGGAATGAAAGAAGGGAACGAGAATTTATTTATTTCTTATTGAACAGTTTATTAATTTTTAGTTTTCAGCATTCACTTCCATAAGAATTTGAGTTTCAGATTTTCTCCCCCTCTCTTCCTCCCTGCTTCCCAAGATGGTGTGCAATCTGATATAGGCTCTACTTATACATTCACATTAAGGATATTTTCACATTAGTCATGGTATAAAGAAGAATTAGAACCAACGGGAGGAACTAAAAGAAGAAAGAAGAATCAAAGCAAAGCAACAAAGGAAAAGGAGAGCAAGTAGTATGCTTCCATCTGCATTCAGATTCTATAGTTCCTTCTCTGGATGTGGATAGCTTTTTCCATCGTGAGTCTTGCATTGCTGAGAAGAGCTAAATCATTCACAGTTGATCATCACCAGATATCACTGTTACCGTGTAGTGTTCTTCTGGTTCTGCTCACTTCACTCAGCATCAGTTCATATAAGTCTTTCCAGGTTTTTCTGAAGTCCGCCTGCTCATCATTTCTTACATATGATAATATTCCGTTACATTTATGTACCGCAGCTTGTTCAGCCATTCCACAGTTGATGGGCAGCCCTTCAATTCCAATTCTTGGCCACCACAAAAAGAACATTTATAAATATTTTTGTACATGTGAGTCCTTTTCCTATTTTTGTGATCTCTTTGGGATACAGCCATAGAAGTGCTATTGCTGGGTCACAGGGCATGTACAATTTTATAGCCCTTTGGCCATAGTTCCAAATTGCTCTCCAAAATAGTTGGATCATTTTCACAACTCCAGCAATGCATTAGTGTTCCAATTTTCCCACATCTTCTCCAGCATTTACCATTTTACTGTTTTGTCATGTTAACCAATCAGATAGGTGTGATGTGGTACCTTAGAGTCATTTTGATTTACGTTTCTCTAATCAATAGTGATTTAGAGCATTTTCTCATATGACCATAGATAGCTTTAATTTCTTCCTCTGAAAACTGCCTGTTCATATCCTTTTGACTATTTGTGAATTGGGGAATGACTTGGAACAAGCATTTATTAAGCACTTACTATTTGCCAGGCACTGTTAAGCACTTGACAAATGTTGTCTCATGTGATCTTCACAATAACCTTTGGAGCTACCCAAGGTGCTATTTATCCTCATTTTACAGTTGAGGAAACAGAGGCAGACAGAGGATAAGTAACTTGTCCAGGGTCACACAGCCAAGTTAGTCTAAAGCAGGATTTGAACTTGAGTTCAGGCACCTAGCTTCTTGGCTTCTAGTCTAGCTTCTTTATTTTATAGGTGAGAAAACTGAGCCCCAGGGGAGGTTATGTGATTTTCCCAATATCGGACAGATAGTAAATGTCAGAGGTGAGATTTGAACTTGGCTCCTCTGGCTCTAGAATTAGTGTCTCCTCCCTTCCCCAAATAATATTACTTTTTATATCAGGTCAGTTAAACCATCCTTTGACCTTCTTCCCCCATCATTTTATTGGGGGTGGATTTCTCAGTGTATTTTACAAAGAAACCTTGGTCCCTTTAGTTTATCCTGAAATACATTGTTTAAACTTTGCCTGGAGTGACAAGATAACATGAATGATGAAGTCTTTTTTTTTTTTTCAAAGATATTCAGGATGTGGCTGTTTGCAGGAACGAGCTGTTCTGTCTCCACATGAATGGAAAAGTCTCACATTTGTCACTATTGTCTGTGGAGCGCTGTGTGGATCGCCTGCTTAGGAGAAGCCTGTGGGCTTTGGCTGCCCATACTTGCCTTCTGTTCCAAAACTCCATCGTCCTTGGCCGAGTGAGTTAGAGAATCAATAATCAATAAATTGTCACTATTCTAGCCTTATAGGTTGTCTACTAAATATTTACTCTTAGCCCTTTCTACACATGCCTGTGTCCTGATGATTGAAGCGCGCAGTATTGTCAGTTAACAAAAATTTACTGATAGCAAATTGGTAGTGCCACACACTGAGCTAAGTGCTAGAGATCAAAAAGAAAGGCAAAAGTGAGGTCCCTCCATTCAGGGAGCTCACATCCTGCTGGGAGAGACAACATGGAAACAGCTATGTGCATATAAAGTATAGAGAGAGCAGAGGGAGAATCATCTTAGAGGAAAGGCACTAAGGAGGGACATAGGGGAGAGCAGATCTGGAAGGCCCTGATCTGATCTTGGAAGGAAACTGGGGAAGCCAGAAGGAGACAGTGAGGAGAGAGAGCCAGGAGATGGGATGGTGTGTGCAAGCAACAGTAATAAGCAGAAATAGAAGGTAAGAAGACAGGAGAGGTGGGAGGGGGCCAGGTTATGAAAGGCTTTAGAGGCCAAATCATTTTACGTTTGATTGTGGAGGTAATAGGGAGCCACTGCAGATTATTGGGTGGGGGTGTGTGACAATCTCAACCCTGTGCTGTAGGAAAATCAATTTGGCAGCATTGTGTATCATGGGTTGGAGTGAGGAGAGACATGAGAAAGGGAGACAAATTAGAAAGCTCTTGTAATAGTCCAGGTGTGAGAACTTGCCCTAGTGGTAAGGCTGAGTGAGTGGAGAGATATATGAGAGATGTTGGGATCAGATTATGAAGGGCTTTAAGAGCTAAAGAGAGGAATACGTACATTATCTTAGGGGCAAGAGGGAGCCACTGGAGTTTGTTGAGCTGAGGAGTAACATCATTGTTTCTGTGCTGAAAGAAAATCACTTTGGCAGCATTGTGGAGGATGGCGTGTCATGTGGGGAGAGACAATGTGGCAGGGAGACCAATTAGTAGGCTGTTCTCATGATCTCTATAACAGGACCATATCTGTTGATGACTGGAATAGCTCTTTAAGTTTTGTTTAAAAGCAAAATTTGGTCAAAGTTCAATTCAGACTTATCTTTTAGGCCTTCCTTTCTTTTATTAGAAATGATTTAAAAGTGGAGATGATAATTTTCACATCTATTATAACTAATTAAATCATTGATTCCTAAGATAGTTATCTTAAGTGTGTTCATAGTTGTTTTTTTCTTTGTTGGGCATTATTAGAAGATGTTGTGTTATTCTTATGCATCCTACACTAAACACAGGGGTACCCAACCAGCCTGCTGTAGCGGCTTAGCAAGGGCATTAATGGGTGTTTTCTTTTCTTAGGCAAGAAAAACTTTACCTGTTGACAAGTTAGAGCACTTGAAATCACAACTGGATATCACAACCCACAGTGATCTAATTGCTCAACTGGAAGAATTGATTTCAAAATTGGAACCTTTAGATTCTGCCTGCAGCAGTAGGAGAAGCTCCATTTCCTCACATGTAGGTGTGCTTAGCGCTCATAAACTTATTGACTGTAGAGTATGATTTGTCCACATTGGGTTGAGCACAGTTCCTAGGACGTCCTTCTTTCTTTCCACATGATAGCTTTCTTCAGACACTTGTTGTGGCTGAAGGCCAGCTAAATGAGATTGTCATTTGTGTTTCTGTACTGAGTTAGTTGGTTTCCATTCTCAAATACATCTGCTTTTTTGTTTCCTTTCAGGCTATTTAGTTCTTCCAGTGAACTTAAGCCATCAGTTCAGTTGATCCCAGTTATTTTCAGTTCAGCTAAATTCTTTAAGGACATTATCTCATTTCATGTGCACTCTTACTACCAGGCCTTTTTGGGAATAAGGAATATTTGTCCATTTTACTTACAGAAAAACCAGATTAAGTGGGGTTAAGTGATTCCATTAGAGGTTCAAAGTAGCTTTCGCAGTAGCTGGAAATGAAATGGAAATCCTAACCTTTCTTCACTAGTTTGCTGCTTCAGCTGTGGCTTATACTGGACACAGAGGAAATAAACCCAAAGGTCACTGATGTTAAATGCTGGAAGTGGAGGTCTTCTTCCATTTTAAGCCTTTCAAAACAAAAAAAAAACCCCAAACATGTGACTAAGCCAAGGGTGATTTGGTTTTATGTAATTGTTTTATTTTTAGGAAAGTTTCAGTATCTTAGACTCTGGCATTTATCGTGTCATTAGTCGAAGAGGCAGCCAGTCAGATGAAGACTCTTCTTCCCTTCATAGCCAAACACTTTCAGAAGATGAGAGACTTAAGGAATTCACTGTACAGCATGAAGAAGACCGCCCAGACCAGGGTAATGGCTCCCAAGGCAGTGGGGCTTCCTATTGATGGAAGTGCTTAGGAATTCTGGTGTCTGTCTATACTAGCCCAGTACCCATGATTTCCCACCATGGGTTTGTTTTTTAAAAATTTTATTTGTGTTCTGTTCACTCTATTGACTGGATTTTCTTTTTGAAGTTTTATGGATGATGCCTTTGTTTTTTTTTTTTAAAAGTATCATTTCTAGATATATTGTTTCTATCCATCCCAAGACTTTCCCTTGTCCAGGAAAGAAACATTTAAACAAAACCAAATTACACAGTGCCCATGTCTGATAGTATGTGCATCATTCTGCATCCCATAGTCTTCCACTGTGTGTTCATTATTGTTGTGGTTGACAGATAGCAGCTAAGCCCTTACGGTTTTAGGAAGAGAGGTTTTAATATGTAAGTAGATTCTCTTTGTTACCTTTAGGCTAAAATTTGCTGTTGCTAAGCCAAACCCCCTAATTCTGACCCATCCAGATGCTGGGAAAATATAGGAGTACAAAGATAGTGGCCTTGGGGTTTTTTCCTCATGAACCATAATACTCTTCCAGGACTGAAAAATAATCACTGTGGGGGTTGTTTCCTTTACTATGTTGTGTGCAAATATTTTAATGTCAAATGATCTACTGAGAGAGAGTTTAATTGAGATTCTAGTCCTTTTTGGACTTATGGTAATGGAGGGTACAGTTCATCTGGGTTTTCAAAGTGTTTTCTGTGTGAGCAGCTGGCTGTGCCATGTGCTAGGTAGATAAAGAATTCAGGTCCCTCACAGTCTCTGCCCTTTACGACTCTACTGTTGAGTAGGGAGAGATGACACGATTGCCCTTGATTACTTCATCACAGAGGGCAACTAGATGGTGAAGAGGAAGACCCTGAATTGTTAGGAAGATAAGGGCCATCTCTCAGTACTCATTACCTCACCTTTTTGTGGGTGGCGGTCTGGGTCCATTCCACAAACCTGTGTTCTGTCTTTTCCTATTTGGATTTTTGTTTTTACTTCCTTTGGTCATTCATTTCAAACTTTTTGTATTAAAGATGGGAAGGCCTAGTGTGATCAAATTTTGTTTTTCACACTGCTCCTTCCTCCCCCAATTCTGTTTGTCAGACACTGTGTCTCATGCTTCAGTGACAGATGAGTCAGATCGGAATGAAGCTTTTCTTCCATTTGGCATTCCATTATCATTTCGTTCTTCATCTCCTCTCGCCTCTCTTCAGGCTGTCAAGGAAAGGTATATTGTTCCTCAATCCTTTTTAAAAAAATTTACCCTCAGTCGTCACATTGACATTTCAATAGGTATAGAAAAAAAATCATTAAATGGAGAAAGTTTAAAGCTCTTCCTTTCTTAGCCAGGAAGATGCTACCTTTACGTAGTCTTGAGGAAGTATATGAGCAGATGAATATGTGGTTTGTCGCAGATATAGGATGCATATGTATGGCCCTTTCTTCCTCTTGCAGACAAGTATCAGCTTTCATTGGATTTAGTAGTAGGAAAGAACAATTCTCAATCTATTTCTGACCTTTTCTTGATCGATCTTGCCTTAAATTGAGTTCAAAATTGAGAAATTAATCCTGATTCTTACTTCTTGCTAAACTATAGGTCAGTATTTGTATTTGGGCTTTGGAAAACAAATTGTGGAAAGGCATTCACAAGTTGTCTTAATAGAAGCCTTTGTTCTATTTCTTAAATGACTATCTAGATCTAACTAGATATAAATTTTGATCATTGTGATGGCTGTAGTAGTGGTTGCCTAAATAACCATTGAAAGTCTGTTGAAGTAATTCTGTATTCTGATCTGTCTTGAAGGGGGCAGGTGGCCGCATAGCTCACTTTAATTGAAACAAATATTGAAGCACATGTGGAATAAAATAATTTTTTTTAACCATCATCCACAACAATGTTTTCTCTGCATCTTTTAATAAATTCAGTTCCATTCACCAGACATCTGTTAAATACCTACTACGTGTATGGCGCTGGGAGAGGTGAAGAGATGACTGAAACATGGTTCAGCCCTCATGGACCTTACAGTCTATTAAGAAAGGAAGTAAAACATCAGAACATGGATCTTACATGGGTCAGAGATGAAGTATGTGGTTGATGGGGAAGTTATACTGAGCACATTTTTTTTCTTTATAAGGAAAGTCCAACCCCAGTTATAGAAGTTGCTGTGGTATAAGCCTCGACTTTAGAATCTTTTATTCTTCTGATCATAGAAATTATTTCACGTGAACTCTTTGACATTTGACTTCCAGTGTTTCTAGTTTTGTGCGGAAAACTACTGAAAAGATTGGCACACTTCATTCAAGTCCTGATTTGAAAATGAGAACTGAACCCAGAGGTGAGCAGCCTCATGAGGAGGATGCTAACATAATGACCTGTCCCCAGGAAGATGAAAATGAGTAAGTCTTAACTATATTTAGCCTATATGTGAGAATGCAAAACTGGCTTGCTAAAATGGAATAAGGCTTTACAGTAGCAGAGCTGGGTGTGCCCTCGTTGACAGAGAGAGGGCTGAACTTTTGTTCAGAAGGAAGAGGGTTCCAGGCCTGTCTCTGATACTTCGTAACTGTGTGACTATGGGAAAGTCATCTAATCTCTCTGAGCCTCAGTTTCCTTCTCTATAAAGTATTTTCTGTAGAACTTACCTCATGGTGCTGTGAGGTTCATGTGGGATTTTACTTGCTGGTCTACAGTATTGCTAGAATTAGTGGTACATAAATGCTGCCTGGTGTTTCATCGTGGCCAGCTACCTTTTTTGCAACACCCTTTAATCGGTCAATTTGATGGGCTGGGAAATTTATCAGTCATTCTTGACATGGCTAGGGAGCTGGAAGGCCATCTGGTCCAGCTTCCTTATTTTGGAGCTGTCAGTGAACAAGTCTTTATTAAGTGTCTACCATGTGTTAGGCACTGTGCTAAGCCAAGCACAATCTAAAGGGGGAGAAAGCATGCAAACAACTACGTTCAGACAAGCAAAATCAGGAAATAATCAACAGATGGAAGGTGTTAGCATTACAGGCCATCAGAAAAGTCTTATTGCAGAAGGTGGGATGTTAGCTGGGACCTGAAGGAAGCCTAGGAAGCTGGGAGACAGAGGTGAGAGGGAAGAGCATTCCAGGGATGGAGGACAAGAAGTGAAAAATGCCCAGAGGTGGGAGATGGAGTGTCTAGTGTGAGGAGAGTTGGAAGGTCAGTGTCACTGATAGAGTACTGGCAAGGAGTAAGAAGACTGGAAAGGTAGGAGAGGGCCAGGTTTTGGAGGGCTTGAACTAGGGAGGCTGGATCACATGGTCAGGGTCATACGGGTCATGTGATCACAAATTTAGATGTGGAAGAGACCCTGGTCGTATTGGAATCCAACCCTTCAGTTAGCAGATGAGGAAACATTTCACAGCAGGTAAGCAGAAGAGGCTGAGTCTGAACTGAGATGTACTCTTTACAGCTGTGCTATCCCACTGTTCTTTTAGTTTCTGAACAAATGGTGTTTTTCATCCTTCCTGGTGAGATACAATGGTGTTACAGATGAGCTTGGCAGCAAGAATCATGTGTGCTTCCCATGTGTAGGCCCCTAGTGTCCTCTCCTTGCCATACAGGGAGATGGGCACTGTGAGCTTGTGAAAGGCTGAAGTTGTTTTCTGTTCTCAGAAACTGTTTAAAGCTCCATCCCTAGGGGCAGCTATGTGGTGCAGTGGATAGAGCACTGGGCCTGGAGTCAGGAGGACCTGAGTTCGTATCTGGCCTCAGACCATACATTTGATACTTACTTACTAGCCATGTGACACTGGGCAAATCACTTACCCCCGAATCAGTGTATTGACTTTTCCTACATACTTCTTATCCAGAGCTTCCAGCTGTGTCCTTTTAGGCATGGCACTAAATGATTTAAATGTTCAGCGTTCTCCTCTCTAAAGTGGAGGTAGTAATACGCTCTTCTGCCTCAGTGTATTATTGTGAGGAAAGTTCATTGTTAACCTGAAAGTGCTAAATAAATATGAATTAATATGAATGTGTTAAACAAGGGGAGTCAGGTCAGCAAGCATTTATTAGACACTCATTATGTGCCAGCGACTATGCTAAGCCTGGAGATACAAATGAGGGTCAAACCAGTAGGAGTGAAAGTAAAGATAGCTGGAAAATACTTCTAGGACCATGAAATACCTGCCTGTAAGAGGCTCTTTCTTCTCTCGTGATTGGCTGGAGAGCATATTCTGGTTCCCTCTTCCTTTGTTCTCATTTTGCTTGCTGTGAAAAGTGTTTGAATATTAATTTTTATGTTGGCCCCTTACCTTCTGGTTGATGACTTCTGAAAGAACTCTTAGTAAAATACCCATTCAAATGGGGCCCTGTGCTTGGTTGTAATTCACAGGCAGCTTGATAGGAAAAAGACCAGAGGGACTGTGAATCTGTAGTGGGTTGACTGTCCACTACAGCTGACTGTGCAGGGATTCTGCTTGGGGAGGGTCAAGGCAGCATGTCTGGAACTTTCTTTCCTCAAGCAGAGGGAGCTGCTAGAGAGTCCTGACCTGACAGCATTCATTTGGTCCCTGACACACCATTTACACGGCTCAGGAGGCAGCATGATGTTGTAGAGAGAATGCTGTCCTCAGAGCTCTGATTCTGTTTGGCTTGGTGTTCACTATTCCTTGACTGTGAGATTGGAATAGGGTCCTGATCTAGGCACTGGGTGAAGCTTTATAAAAAATCCTGAGAGGGCAGCTTGGTAGCTTCCCTCTATGGAGCTCAGTGAATCTGTGCAGGTATTACCTGTGAAGGATTGGGAGAGGTATATAAGCTTTTTATTCCCATAGACAGTACTTCGGCACTGTCATCAGGTACCGCAAACCAGCTCCTACCTTTTTCTGTGGGCATCATGCTTATTTTTTATATTTCTTTTCAGGAGAGATGTGAAAAGTCAGTCTTCAGAAGAAGATAAGTTACAAGAACTCAATGCAGCGACTACTGAGACAGTGTAAGAAAAGACTTTAATAACTTCACTGAACTGAGTTGTAAATAAAAAATTATAGCCACTAGAAGAGACTTTGTGAGACCAGCAGCAGCAGCTGCACTGAGGATCTCAGATAACATTACCTAATGGGCAGTGGAGCGACACAGCCCCCTATCATGCTTTTAAATGAATATTCTGTTGGAATGATTGGGCATCTTCTTGCTGGGAAAATAGTCAAGAATTGAAAATTAATAGTAGTGCTTATTTATTAGGGGGGTAATTATGTAGTTACTGATTATTTTGCTTTTAAATTTTTTTGAACTCTTCTGAAAATTTTTTGAAAATAATTTTTTAAAAATAAATTTTTATTGATAAGTTTTATTGATAAGTTTTTTTAGCATCATCATAGTAATCCTTCCCACAGTATACTTTCCTAGAGCCATACCATATAACAAATAGTATTTTTTTAGAATCCCAAAAAAAGAAAAAAAAAGAGGGAAAATAAATCAGCACAATTAATCAATAAGTTGAAAAAGTTGGAAAATGTGCAATGTACATATTAATGTAACATCTGTGGACCTTTCACCTCCACAGAGGAATTGGTTGGGAGTATCCTCTCATACCTCTTCATTTGAATACTGCTTGGTCTTTGTAATTTTTTTACATTCACTTTTGGGTTTTTTTGGGCATTCTTCCTTCTTATTGCAGATTGAAGCTTCAGGATCCTCAGGTTCTATTTCAGCCTACGTCTCTGAGACTGGTTCTACAGGAGTGGCTTTTACACTTAGAAAAAGCATTTGCAGTGGAGGATCTTTCCAGCATTTCAGAGGCTGTCAACTCACATGCAAAGACAGACCAGGATATGCCTTTGCTTGATGAATCTAAAAAAGAAATTTTAGAAGCAAATATTGGACAAGAACAAAATAGTTGTTCAGATGGTGAAAATTCTGTAGGCAAAATAGCAAATGAACCAGTAAACTATCTGAGGGAAACGTCAGATGACCTTTTTCGAATACATGCACCGTATTCCATAGAAAACAGTCTTCAGAAGAACCTGGCTGAACTGACAACTCTGTGTCTGGAGTTAAATGTATTTAGTTCTAATGTCACAGGTATAAACATGGATCAAGATTTACAGCGGACCATTCCAGGGATTCCTGCTTGTCAGTTTATAAAGAAGTACTTTTTTCTGTTGGACTTGGAAAGAGTAAAGCAGTGTGTCAAGATTAGATACTCTGACAGTCCCAGGGTTTGGGATACTTATGTTGAAGGGCTGAAAGGTAATATTTTTTTCTTTTTTCACTTTGGAGAGTGAAAGATTGAAGGAAAGGGATATATAACATTTTGGATTGCAGGATTTTAAAAAATAATTGAGAGAGAAGTGTGTAGGACTTCTTAACCTAGCCTACAGCCTTCCTTTTATGCTTAATTTAGTTTTTAAAAAAAAATTCTTAAATTTTTATTTATCTTATTTTTAGTTGAACATTTTCCTCCTCTTCCCTCTCTCCCCTACCACTGAGAAAAGAGGAACAGTAAAACTGTTATAAACATGTATAGTCAAGCAAAATAAATTTGTGCATTGGCCGTGTCCAAAAAAAAAAAAGTCAATCTGTACTCTGAATCCATTACCTTTTTTAGGAAGTAGCTAACCTGTTTCATTATGAGTACTCTGGAATCATGATTGGTCATTGTGATTATTTAAGTTTTTCGAAGTTGATTGTCTTTGTAGTATTGATGTTATTGTGTAAATTGTTTTCCTGGTTCTGCTTAGCCTTACATGAGTTCATACAGATCTTCCCAGGTTGGTCTAAATCCATCACTTTCATCCTTTTTTATAGCACAGTAGTATTCCATTGTGTTCATATACTGTAACTTCTTTAATCATTCTCTAGGTGATGCACACCCCCTCAGTTTCTAATTCTTTTGTCACCACAAACAGCTGCTATAAATATTTTTGAGCATGTGGGTCTTTTTCCTCTTTAATCTCTTTGGGTATGGACCTAATAGTGGTATTGCTGGGTCAAAAGCTATGCCCAGTTTAATAGCTTTTGGGGCATGGTTCCAAATTGCTTTTCAGAATGGCTGGACCACAGCACAGCTCTGCCAATAGTGCATTTTAATTGAGTGTTTTTTTTTTTTAAAGAAGCTTTCAACTTCTGTTTAAAAGTAGCTGAGGTGTATTTTAAGGAGTGGCAGATGAGGTTTACTTGCTATGTGATCTTTTCTGTAAAATGGGGATGGTGATACTGTTTGTACAGAGTTGTCATGATTACCAAAGAGAATGTATATTAAGCACTTTATGAAACATGAAGTGTTATACAAATATAAGCTATAACATAAGATATAATTCTGATTTTGTACAGGAATTATATTGCCATATGTTAATATCTTTGTCATTACTGAGTAATCTGTGTTCTATGTTAACATTAGGACTTTATACTTAGGACAATCCTGCTGTTATTCCAAACATTTTGGAACTTTTAAAAGCTATTTTCCCAGCTATATAGTTGGTTTGTTTTTCATCTAAAATGGTATCATCCAGTTTGATCACCTCCTTTCTTCCTATTCCTTCTCCTTGCCAAATGACTTAATTGTTTCAAAATAAAATCTCTCAGAGGAGGAAGAATGGCCAGCAGTAAAATTAATCAAACACTGATCTCCAATGACAATTCCCAAGATACTTTCAGCACTGTCAGCCCTCCTTGGAATGAGAGTCTGGCTTCCTGAGGGAGCTGCTTGGTAGGGGGCAGTGTTCCTTAGGGAATTTAGTTTGGTAGATTTGTTTAAAAATGTCATATTCCCTTATAATTTTATCTTGCACAGTCTCTTGGATTTAAAAAATTTTCCACGTGCATGCCTTTTCTTCTCAACTAGGTTGTAAATTCTTTGAGAACAGGGACCATGTGATTTTTGATCCTTCACACAGTGCCTAGCACAAGGATATATATATATATATATATATATATAACAGGAACTTAGTGTTTGTTGTATGAATGCATTACTAGTGCATACTACTAAATGAGGGAAGACAAGAAGACTATTTTGTTTTTCAGAAATGGCATGTTCCAGTCCTGTGCCTCTAGAGATGGAAGATGGAGATATGTTGACAGTGTTAAAGTTCTTAGATGACTTGGCCCATTCAGACAGCCCTCTGTTTATGGCCCATGTCATTAGGTAGGTTGTCTTTCATGGTTTTTTCTGGGATGCTACAGTACATGCATTTTTTAAGGATCTCTTTAGGTGCTGAACTTCTATGTGGTTATATAGTTGAAAATTTTTAAATCACTAGTTGGTAATATTCTTTCACTCAAAACACCTTTTATGTAGTATAGTAGTTCTGGCACTAAACTAAAATTGTGGCCCCTTTGCTTTTGTACTTCAGAGAAGATGGATCTGGCTCTTGTCTAGATGTAAATTAAAGGGCTAGCTTGTTTTCAAGGCAGGGGCTCGTGTTGGAATAAGAATTCAGATGGCCAAGGGATGATATATGGAGGACACAAGTGTTGTACCTAGTGTTGACATGGAGAGTTGGGGTATTGAAATGAGAACAGGAATGGGTTTTTCTGTTTGTTTTGTACATTAAACCACCCAAACATGAAATTTGTTCTTCTTGTCCCTAGAGAACAGAACTAGGACCAGTACAAGTTAGATATATTCCAGCTCAGTAATAAAGAGGAACTTAGAATAGACCTGTCAGAAAATGAAATGGGCTGTTTTGGGAAGTACTGGAGGTATTCAAGTGAAGGTTTAATCACCACTGATCCAGGAGGTAGAGGGCATTCATGCTCTTTGGATTAGTTAGATGACCTCTGGGGTCTTTAACATCTCTGAGAGTCTGTGATTCTTTGTAGGCTTTATGAAAAGTTTGGGGGAAAAGCCCTTAGGTGCTTGGTCAAGTTCTTCCCATCCATTATGCCGTCAGATGTCATGCAGCTTTGCCGGAATCATCCAGCCCACTTTTTAGTCTATTTGGACAGTCTTGTGAAATCAAAGCCTGAAGATCAGAGGTGAGTGACAGATGGAGAAACTATTTAAATTATTCCTTTATGACTACAGCAGGACTGAGGAAGAAACTTGGGCACTTGACTGAATTTAATCTTGGTCTGTGAGCTGAGATGTATTAGTCCCAACTTAAACTTGTGGTAGCAAAAGTGCAAGCTGTCTTTTAAAGTCTTATCTTCTGCATCTAACTAAATAGAGAGGTTTAGATACTGACAGCTTCTAAGTCCCACTTAGGCAGCTAGGAGCCCAAATGTAGCCTAGTACTGAAGGCTGTAGAGCTATTTTAATAAATCCTGCACTCCAGTCCTGTCCTGTCTGCTTTTTAGGTGATTGTTGTTGCTTGGTGATCAGAGTCTGTTGACCAAAGGGACTAATCTAGTTCTCCCATGTTCCTGAGGAGAGTGATTAGGCTGTGGCTCCGCATTGACACACCTGGTGCCTTCATCTCCCCTAGACAAAGCCTTGCTCCTTATCACATAGTGGTCCAGGCCAATCCGTCATGGAGATCAGTCCCTTTCTTCTCAACAGTACCTTGCATATAATAGGCACTTGATAAATGCTTGTTGGATTTATAGACCCCATGCATGGACAGTAGGCACTTAATAAGTATTGGATTTTTAGGTTCCATGCATAGGCAGTAGGACAGAGCCAATGATATCCTAAAAAGGGAAAGGATGTGGATGTTAATTCTGTTTCTTGAGCTGATTAATTTATGTGTCTTTTCAGTGTATATCCTTTAGAGAATTCATATATAGAGAATACATGATTCTACTTTGCTTACTATTTTTAAAATTGATTTTTATTAATATCTTCTGTTTTTATATCACCTAAATTTCTTTCTCTATCCCCTCCTTTCCTCACCGACAGCTGTTCCTGACAACAAAGAATTTTTTTTGATAGAAGGAGTAAGAACTTACTAGCTGTGTGACCCTGTTGCCTCAGCCCAATTGCCTCACCAAAAAGCAAAAAAAAAAAAAGAGTAAGGGGAGAAAAAAATTCAATAAAACCGATCAACACATTGAAAAAACACAAATTTGTATGCAGTATTTCATACCTGTGGACTCATCCTTCTACAAATGAGCAAGAAAAGTGTCTTATCATATCTCTTCTTTTTTTGGAACAAACTTGTTCTTCCTAATTTTGCAACATTCAGTTTTGTGGATATTCTTTCCATTTATATTGTTGTATTTGTATACCGTGCTTATTATTTTTTAACAGCATTTTATTTGGTAGAGTAAAGCACTTCCTTAAAGGTTCTCTTTTGATGTTTCCCCTTATTAAAATCATTCTGTGTTCCTCGAAATATAAAACAATACAAACAATCCTGTTCAGTGAGCCTCTGATCATAAATATCACTTGAGGCATAAACACAGGGAGGTAGTTAGTATGCTCACCAAAAGTATGTGTCACTGTGGTGGAAGGGATCTATCATAGAGGGATTTCCTATGAAATGAGGTCCTCCAAATGCCCTGTTTACAGATAACATTATGCTGGTTGTATCCACCCTGTGAAGTTGCAGAGTTTTCTGAAGTATATTTGTGACCACTCAAAAGATTTTGGCCATACCATCTAAATGAAAAAGACTTAAGTGGATGAAGAATGTCTGTATGGCATTCTTTAGATGCACAACCTCTAGAACTCATTCATCAGTGTTTGTATCTGGAGTAGACAGTGTAGATGAGTAGTGAGTTTTTGAGTTTGGTCTAGAGTTGAACAGGAGAAGGAGTAGATTTTGGATTGCTTTTGAGAAATTAAAATGCACCTTTAATCACCCCAGCCTTCCCCTTAAAAACAGGGGTCCATCTTTTAAAGGCTAATGTTTTACTATTGTTGCTGTATAGCAATGAGATATGGAATACTATGGTCTCTGAAGAAGTGAAATGAAATATTATACAGTGGTCAGTGAGAGGCTCATGGGGTTTGAATAGGCTGCAGCATATAACCAATGAGGAACTTTAAAGAATGAGAGTAAAAAGCAATCAAAGAAAGATATGATAGTAAGGGAGGATGGAAGGGGGGTCATGTGGTAAGGGAAAGGATGACAGATGGACAGCAAGCATATTCTACTTGTATCCTTACCTTGTCAGGAGAAAGTGAGGAAGACCTCTGGCATGTTGAGTGGACTCCTGTTGTAAATTTATTTGAGAGGATAGACAAAGGTGCTATAGAAGAGGCAGCCGTGACTGGTTGAGATCTGTATCATTGGAGGGAGGAGAGCTATGGGAGTTTTTGAGTATGGATTTTCAGTTATCTGTTATTCAGTTGGCATGAGTCTTTCCATTTTTTTTCTTTTTTCTTTTTAGGCAATTGGGGTTAAGTGACTTGCCCAGGGTCACACAGCTAGTAAGTGTCAAGTGTTTGGTCTGAGGCTGGATTTGAACTCAGGTCCTCCTGACTTCAGGGCCGGTGCTCTATCCACTGCGCCACCTTCCTGCCCCAAAATGACTTTTTAAATTTTTTTTTTCGGTAATTGGGGTTAAGTGACTTGCCCAGGATCACACAGCTAGTAAGTGTCAAGTGTTTGGTCTGTGGCCAGATTTGAAGTCAGGTCCTCCTGACTTCAGGGCCAGTGCTCTATTCACTGCACCACCTAGCTGCCCCTTCCATTTTGTTGCTGTATAATCTGAGATGGGATAATCTGAGGAGGAATCTAAGCATCACATAGAAATGAGATACAGTTATGGAATCTGAGGCCTTATCTTCTGTATTCTATGACCTTACTTAGCCCAGTGCGCTAAGCTGCTTTTCTGGGAGACTATAGAGGGATTTAGATGCTCCTAGAGTAAAGGTTTTCTTCTGAATTAAAGTTGAGGAATTGTAGATTTTTGCCTTTTTGGTTTTAAGACCAGACTGAATATAGGATCACATGATGTAGAGCTGGAAAAGAATCCTAAAGATCATCTAGTTAATTTTCTCTTTTAAAAGGATGAGGACATTGAGGCCCATAGAGGGAAAGGCATTTGCCAAGGAATCTCACTTTGTCCTGAGGAAGGGAGAGGGTTGAGTGATGTGGCTATGGTTTGCATTTTAGTCTAAAGAAACTTTGGATTAAGCAACACTTGAGTTTCCACCAAGTATTCACATTAGGTTATTCCTTTGACAGCTGCCAGATGGTAACATTTGCTGTGAATTTCTTGTAGATTGTGCTTCCTTGACTCTCTTCTTCAGCCTGAATCTTTAAAATTGGATTGGCTGCTTTTGGCAGTGACCCATGACACCCCAGAAAGGACATGCACCATGGATGATAAGGGACATCCTAGGTAAGAGACAGTTTCTGTCATCCTCCCAGTGCAGATGAAGCTTTTGACAGCATGACATTTGTCCACCTTTTATCTTGTCCCAGGGGAGGGACAGCTTCTGTCTCCCTCCCCTCAGATAGTGCACTCGATGGAGCTCTTCACTACAGCACTTGGTATACCTGGGTTTCAGTTGCTTCTTTACCCAGGGAGGCCTACCTAGGACCAAATATGCTTTCACTGATTAATGTTCAGCTTAGGTTTTTATACTTTCTTTTAATCCCATATAGAAAGTTTCAGCTGGAAGAAAGCCTAGGGGTCATATTGTCTAATGTTTCCTAACTCAAGCCATACTGTGGGTGGATAAAAATTCTAAATTTTGTACCATGGCCTGCTCTCATCTCTGGATCCTCGATGTGGCCTTTCAGTGAGCTTAGCTGGGGCAAAAGCGGGGAGTAGAGGTGCTGGAGACCTCTTGGTCTAAGAATATTTTTAATTTGGCATCATCCAGGAAGTATACAGCAGTTTCCATTTTGAGTGCTTTTAAAAAATTATGCTTTTGAAATCCTGATATTAACAGATTCATTGGTATTTCTTTGCTTTTAACAGGTCCCATTCACATTTGCTCACCTGGGGTTACAGACACCTGATTCTGCTTCTGATTAAGCTTCCAGCTAGTTTTGTAATCAAAGAAAAGATGGTTGATATTTGTAAGTCTCATGGGTAAGTGAGTCTGAGTCCAAAGACAGCATCATTATAGCTAATGACCTTATGATGTAACAGATAACGTGAATGTTAAGTCACACAGGAAAGTGAGAATTTCACCAGAACAGGCGTTCAAGTAGATTCATTCCAGTTGGTGACCTTTCAACTCTGAACTTGGATTAAACTTCCTGAGACTTGAAAGATAGTATTTCATTACACAAAGCCAGGTCTGGAGTCAGGGAGCTCTTTGGTTATCATCCCACCTTCAGTGCATAATCACTGATGTGACTGCAGGCAGGTCATTTGATGTCTGTTAGCCTAGTGTCCTTATCTACTTCACAGGGGCCTTGTGAGATCAGCTAGCATGGTGCTGCAGTACTTTTCAAACCTTCATGGAATCTTGAGAGCAGAGATGTTTTGTGTTTGTATCCTTGATGCTTAGCACTGCTCTCCTTGACTTCCTTCCAAGTCTCAGCTAAAATCTCACCTTCAGGAAGCCTTTCCTGGGCTTCATTATTACTAGTGCCTTCCCTCAATTATCTCTAATTTATCCCATAGGGCAACTAGGTGGCGTCATAGAGTACAGAGCACCAGGCCTGGAGTCAGGAAGACTCATCTTCATGAGATAAAATCTGGCCTGTGACACTCCCCTAGCTGTGTGACCCTGGGCAAGTCACTTCACCCTGTTTGCCTCAGTTTCCTTATCTGTAAAATGAGCTGACCCTTGGCTGGAGAAGAAAATAGCAAACTGCTTCAGTATCTTTGCCAAGAAAACCCCAAATTGGGATCAGGAAGATATGAGTTGGGCCATCTAGATTTATTTCACTCCTATTCTGTAGAGAACATAATGCATAGAACTGAAGAAAATTACAAAGAAAGGAGCATATATGGTTGCATTGGTCAGGGAGTTTATAATATAATGGAAGAAATTTGTTATATGTAAGCATGTCCATATAAATTGTCAGTTTTTACATGGTCAGAGAATGGGGTCAGAGGAATTATGGAAATTGCCCCTGGCAGAAAAACTTAATTTTTTTAAATTTAATTTTTAAAATTTAGTTATTTAAAAATTTTTTCCCCACTTAATAGTATTTTTTTTGTAATTACATGTAAAAATAGTTTTCAGAATTGTTGCAGTTGTTAAAATATTATGTCATAAGATTCTAAGTAAGCTCAGAGAGGAAAGAAATCTGAGATATATTTCAAAAGAAGAATCAGCAGGAGTTGGTGACTCTGGGTACAGCAATTGAAGGAGAGGCAGCAGCTCAGGGTTTACTTATATGGGGAGTTGGTCTTTGGTGTTAGTGATGAAATAGGTCTCAGAGACATTAATGTCATACTCCTTTATGAGAGATACTTTGTATGAAAATAGACTGGCAAAATGTCCAGGGATCAGTGTTTGGCTTCAGTCAGTCAGTCAATAAACTTTTTTTAATCTCCTACCACGTGCCAGACACTTTGCTAAGCACTTCACATGTCCATGGCTTTAAAAATGGCTTTAAAAAAACTACCTAGGTAAAATCATTATCATTATTTCATTCTTGAATTTTCATCTCTACTTCAGCTTCTGGCCTGGCTATCTTACTCTTTGTTTTGAGCTGGATAGAAGAAAAGAAGCCTTCACTAATATGGTATATATGAATGATATGAGAATTGTGGGCGCAGAAAACAGTAAGTAACCCTTAGTTTGCCAGTATTTACATAGTGTCTCTGGAGAGGGCATAGTGGTTCTTCAAAGGAAGAGGAAAACTACTAGGGAATGAGGTGGAGGGACAGACTTTCTGACAAATATGTATCACTATCTGGCATTAATTTATGTAACCTGTGAGTCTACAGGGTTTTTTAAAAAAGTGTATGTATTAGAGAGATACTAACAGAAAAGAAAATTAGATAATTATAGAACCCTGCAGTGGAGCAGTGTCCAGACTACCTAAACCCAGCCTTTCAGGTGATTCAGGTCATATCCTGTCAAAAGCCACTAGGTGGGGTTATCAGACAGAAAAAGGTGCTAGTTCTTGGAATCCAGTGCTTAGGCATGGGTGCTGTACTTTTAGAACAGTTGATATGAGCAGTGTAGATTGTCCATCTTCTGTTTTTCATTCTCATGTTTAGAGAATGACTGATCACCTTTTCTTTGGGTCCTGAGAATGGTTACTTTGTCATGAAATAAAAATTTTTAAAGCTGATTTTGTGCATTTGTTTAGTGCATTTAAAGCGTTCATTCGCAAAATACTTGAGCTCCAGCTTTATGAGAGGCCTTTCCTTGGCATAGTCATGACCAGAGTTGGTTGGTTGTGTCTAGGTTGGATCCCAGAGACAGTGGACGAATGGAAGCTTCTGTTGAATCTTGCATCTAGCAGTGCTAATGAATCAGCCCCTCAGGAGACACCAGACAGAAACGTCAGTGGTGACGGTTCCTCCAGCCCTCCCCTCATCACTGTAGAGAATGTGGCTCTCCTGTTAGCCAAGGCCATGGGCCCAGATCGGGCCTGTGCATTGTTGCAGGAGTGTGGCTCAACACTGGGATTGTCTGAGAGATTTACCAGAACCTGCAACATCCTGAGGATTGCTGAGAAGAGGCAGAGGTAAAAGCTGTCAGGCTTTAGTGATGGGCTTGGGCAATGATATTTCATTCATTGTCCACTTCAGGCAGCCTTGTTTGCTAACATTTGATTTGCACCTGACTCTGACATGCATTTCTGGATTTGGTTGGATGCATGAAGTTCTGACTTGACTTGGCAGTTTTTTGGATAGCTCTCTTCCCAAATGAGACTCTAATTTGTTTGCTGGGATATCCTGAGATATGTGGATGGTTCCATGATCTTACCAGCGTAAGAGATTTCAGAGCCTCCGTGCCACCTCATTCTGTGCAATTCTTTTCTTCTTCTTTCTGCAATTCTCCATTGGAGATTTACTCCTCTGCTAGAGGCCTGTCTTCAATTCTTTTAATATCAGTACAGCACTCTGGTTTTCCTGTTCTCCCTCCTCTCCTACAAGGCCTTTTCTTTATGCCACTTGTTGTGGGTGACTCAGCATTAATATTCTGCAGCCTACCTGTGCCAGCGAACCATGGTCACTAATTTTGATTGTTTCTTTTCTTTGGTATTGCAGAGCATTGATCCAAAGCATGCTTGAAAAGTGTGACCGTTTTCTGTGGTCCCAGCAGGCCTAGTAGGAGAGGACCAGGGAGGACAGTCATGAAGTTTTGTGGGAAAAAACCCAACCAGTGCCTTTGGAATCCTTGGATATACCATCCTATATCCCCTTGTTGGATGAAAGACGAAGATGGTCTGATGGCCTTCACATATGCTGTGGAAATCATAGTGTTAATTAAATCTGACTTTGGAAGGCTGCCTTCGTGCTCAAATGGAGTTCTGCACTGACTTACTAAGAACAGAGTCTATGTTACTGTAAGCCTGAGAGATGCTTACCCAGCTGCCTCTCCAGTCACATGAGGAGAGAGTTGTACTGACCAGAATGAGGGCAAAGGCTGTCTGTTTTTAAACAAGGCAACTGTTGTGTGAAATATTTCAACTATAATGATTAGTAGACAGAACTAATTATGCAGGACACAAATTGTGTATTTAAATTAAATTACTGAATTTTAAAATCAGATTAAATATTTCACTGTGTATTCTCCAATATTTATTTGACATCTTACAATATATACTCAGATACAGCCTCCTGTTTCTCTATCCAAAATGCTTTATTGCTGCGCTTACCTAAATTGAATGGTTCCAGACAATTATGCCCTTTAATATAATGCTCTTAATAAAAGCTAGCTGGTACTATCACTGAGAGTCCTTGCATTATTTCAGTTGTGTAATGATTCGTTGTCAATAGCAAGTCTTGTGCATGTGTATTACACTGATTCTAAATTTTAAGAAAGCTTCTGTTATGTAGAATAATTTCAGGATTTATAAATGGAGATGGAAATTTAAGATTCTTAGCCACACAAGATAGTGAAAAGACCCTGTTTCTTCTCTAGGCTGTAACTCTTAGCTAGCTGGGTGACCTTGGGCAAAGTGTATTTGAATCTTAGTTTTGCTCGTTCCTGTTTTGATATCTCTAAAATAGGGATACTGATCATTATAAAACCTCACATCCAGAGTGGCTAGAGGGAAGCACTTTGTAGACAGACAAGTGATATAAGAACCTGAGTTACTGCTACTAGAAACCTTAGATTTTTAAATTAAAATATACTTTAATATGTAGTGATTTTATTAAAAAGGTAGGAGATGATAAAGGAAAAAATTCCCAGAAAACAAGGCTCAGAACTAAGAAACAAAAGAGGGCAAAGTGTCGTAGACTATACAGAAGCATTGTGTCTGTACAGCATGAACACTTGAAGAATGGTCCTAATGAGAGGCAGTGTGGTGGAGGAAGTGTAGAGCTGGTCCTAGAGTCCAGCTGTGGCCTCTGGGCAAGTCATTTCATCTCATTGTGCTCTAGGTAGCTCTCCAGGACTCTAAGTTGCAGATCTGTTTTAGTAAAAGAAGTTTCCTAGCTAGGAGTTCCCTTCTGTAACACTTTACTCACAACAACCTTAACATTATTATCCCAGTCTTAGAGAATAAGACTGAGACATCAAATTTGCCTTTGATCACATATAGTTCTGAGGCAGAATTAGAGTGTAAATGTCCTGACTCAGTCGTCAGCTGAAGCTTTACAGTGGAAATCAGCCTAGGAAGGATGAGGAGTTCTCGAGAATGAAATTCTGAAGAAAAAGAAACAATTTCCCAGAAGAAAAGAAGGATAAAGAGATTGTCCATGCACTGGAAATCACCAACTTACATTTAAAAAGACGCACTTGAAGGATCATACAATTTCAGAGCTGGAAGGGACCAGCCACTTAGAGTACCCCAAATGTGCCTCTCTGTACTGTAAACAGACTGCCCTCAGGAAATCCCCTACCTTAACTATTGGACAAGACCATGAACTATACCTCTTTCTCAGGGATCAATATAAAAAAATCAACATTACCTTTACTATTGTGAAGGTAATGCCTTATGACCCCTCAGAATCCTTGTAACTCATAATTATAGGCTCCCTAGGCCAAAGCTCCCTTCTATTTTCTCTACCACCTGTTTCCTCGTACCCATCCATGTCCATCCTCTGTCTCCACTGTCCCTGTCCCACTCTGCCCTTCATTTGTGCCCTCTGGAATTCCATTCTATTGTTAACAAACTATAGTTCATATTAGATCTGTTCCTTCCACTGGAAATTGTGTACTTTTTTGTGTACTGATAGGTGTACATATTTCCCCTTGATAGAATGTACTCTCCTTGAAGGCAGGGCCTGTTTCATTTGGTCTTTGTATTCCTAGTGCCTGTTGCAGAGCTTGGAACATGATAGGTGCCTAATAAATACTTGTTGAATTAGAGGTCTTCGAAAGTGGAGTGGGTTGCTTCAGATGTGGGAGGTTGTCCGTCACTGTGAGTCTTCAAGCAAAGCCTGGGTGATTAGTCTTTGGCAGTGTTATAAAGAGGATTCTTGACTGTGTCTTGGTTGGATAGAGTGGCCTTTTCCAACTCCGGGTTTGGATCCTGACTATTCCACTTATTTACTAGCTATCAGGCCCTAAATAAGTGTAACCTTCAATTTTTTTGAGGTTAAAAACATTTGCATCCTCTACCCCACAGTGTTGTTACAATGTTGTTATGTAAAAGTACCACATAACCCCAAACTTCCTTCCTGTCCAGATTGGTGAGGAAATCTGTAGGATTTGTTTTATTTTATTTATTATTATTATTATTATTACTTTTAATCTGTGGATTTTAGACATGTACTCCAAAATAACCTTTTATTGGTGTAGATCAGTAGTTCTCAGAGTTTGGTCCAGGAACCCCTGGGCGTCCCTGAGAACCTTTCAGGGGGTACATGAGGTTAAAACTATTTTCATAACAGTACTAAGATGTTTTAACTTCTAATATGGTAAAAGTCAATAGATATAATCCACATAAACCAAAACTGTTTTTTAGGGGGGGTCATCAGTGATTTTTAAGAGTGCAAGGGGTCCTGTGACCAAGAATTTGAGAACTGCTGGAGTAGATGATTGAGCCCTGATTGAACTTTGTTTTTTCTGGGCTTTATTCCTTCTCTAAAATGGGCCCGTTTCAGTTGCTGAAGGCTGAGTACTTGAATGTCATGAGCTGGAAGATTGCCATAGTGTGCTTTGAGCTCCATTTCTTGTAATTCTAATTCTAATATTGGCATATTTACTGAGAGCTGACAGACTCAGCAAACTATGGGCCTTCTGACAGAACTTTCTAGTAGAGGCCCTTGAAACATTCAGTTTTTGTCACAAGTACAAAAAAGAAAACCCAACATGATGTATTTGTATAATTTTTGAAGATTAATATTAATAAATTGGTCAGTTTAATTTATGAAGCATTTATTAAGCATATACTATGCAAAAACCATTGTGCTTCGTACTGTGGATATGAAGACAACATGAAGAAATCCCTGCCCTCAAAGAGCTTACATTCTTCTCAGGGCATACAAGATATATAGAGATAAGTCAATAAAGAGTTTATACAAAATAATTTATGTGAAAGGCCTCAGGTTAGAGGTGATACCTGAGTTGAGTTTTGAAGGGAGCAAGGAATTCTGCTAGAGGAGGTGAGGAAGTAGTCCATTTTTAGTGTAACATTGACCTGGGGTTCTGTCATAGACTGGGTTCACACAGACTAGGTCAGATCTTGGTTCATCTCAGTCTTTGACCTTTCCCAAAAGAGGGTCATTTCTATATTCTCCTTCAGTTACTCCAAATCAAAGTACATCCAGATTAGCTGCCCTGCCCCAAAGTCTAGCAAAACAAATTGATAGATCAGCTCAACCTTTTGGGACTTATCTTTTGCCTTCTCTTACGAAGAAATAAACTGTGCTCTGATGTAGGGGTAGTCACACTACTTCCCTCCTGCATCCTACCTTGCCAATCCTTGGAGGAAACCCTGGTTATTAGAGAACAATCAGCAAATGAGCATTTATTTATACTTGTTAATATGTTTCTTAATAAATAAGCATTTAGGGGGGTGGAGTCAAAATAGCGGAGTATAGGCTGGGACCCAGCTGACCTCTCCCAAAATTGTCCTGCGGATCAAATTTTGTGGTGGCAGAGTCAACAAAATGTCAGAGGAGTACATTTCTCCAGCTTGACAACTTAGGAGTTTTTCAGGAGAAGTCTGTAACACTGGGGTGGGTGTAGGCCTGGAGTGTGATGGGAGCACCAGCACTGGGGCTTGGAGGTGGCTATGACAGCAGCAGCAGCAGCAGCAGTTTCAGAAGCTCTCAGTCCAGATAACTGGTCAGAAAAAGATTACAGGGGACTCATTGCTGGTACATAAGCCATTTTGGGTCTCGCTTCCGGGGTGGAGAGGCGCACTTGTGATCAGACACAAGGAAGCAGGGGCCCTGGTCAAAGTTCCAGGGCCAAGAGGAGTATTAGCACCTATGGCTGAAGAAGAGAAGGGGCCCTTCCTGGTAAAGATCAGAGCACAGACCAGGAGAGCAGTGCCCACACCTATGCCAACCACACCTATTCCAGTATAACACCAACTTGGAAGCACTGAAAACTTGTAGACCTCCAGAACTGGCTCTGAAAACAGCAGCATGAAACAGTCTAAATTTGGCACAATGCCTCCCCATCCCCAGCTGAGCAGAGCCCAACTTTAACATAGCTTCAAAGTAAAGAAATACGCTGGGTAAATGAGCAAAAACCAAAGAAAGAAAGAAAGAACTTCACTGTAAAAAGCTACTATGATGTCAGGGCAGACCAAGACAGAAATTTAGAAGACAACAATGTGAAAACAACTACAAGCAAGACTCAAAAGAAAAATGCTAGTTGGACCCAAGACCAGCAAGAATTCTTGGAAGAGTTAATGAAAGAGATAAGAGTGGTAGAGAAAAAACTGGGAAAAGAAATGAGAGTGATACAAGAAGATTATGAAAAGAGGATTAACAGTTTGGTAAAAGTGGCAAAAGAAATGCTGAAGAAAATAATTTTTTTCTTTGAGGGTGGTTTAATTTTTAAAAATTAAATAATTTATTAATTTCCACATTCACTTTCATAAGATTTTGAGTTCAAATTTTCTCCCCATCCTCCTCCCCCCTCCCTCACACAGCATGCAATCTGATATCAGCTCTACTTATATGTTCATATTAGAAAACAACATCTTAAGAAACAGAATTGGCTTAAGGGTAAAAGAAGCACAGAAATTCACTGGATAAAATAATTCCTTTAAAAGCAGAATAGGCCAAATGGAACAGGAGGTACAAAAATTCACTGAAGAAAAGAACTCTTTAAAAAGCAGAGCTGACCAAATGGAAAAAGAGGTACAAAATTCACTGAAGAAAATAATTCCTTAAAAATTAGAATTGGGCAATGGAAGCTAATGACTCCATGAGACTTTAAGAAACAATAACACAAAGTAGTGGAAAGTCTGCCACCATTATTGAGGAGAAATAAAATACAGCAACCTATGCAAGGACATGGTAAAGCAGAGGGTCTCATCCACTCTTGTAACAACTGTTTATTGTTCTTGGATAAGAGACACCTGCAATTTTTGTCTAAATAGACTTCTTTAACAATTGTAAAATTATTTGGTCACCTCCCCTTGTCTCCTGCCCTTGAATAGAGAATATTTTGTTGTTCTACGTAACAAATCTTCCCAGATGCATGGCAAATATTCTCTCAGAAATCCTGCTTTTTTTCTTTTTTAAATATTTTTTATTGATATCTTCTGTTTGCTTTTTTCCATTGCCAGAGTTTTTCCAATATTTCTCCTCATTCTGT